TTATTATTATTACAATATATTATTATTATTATTATTATTATTATTATTATTATTATTATTATTATTATTTTTATTATACTCTTCTTTTTTTTATCCAACCTACGATATTATTTTCTCGAAAAAAAAAAGATCAAAGAAAAATTGTATTTAATTTAATTTTATTCGAATATATGAAAATCATGAATAATAATAATAATAATAATAATAATAATAATAATAATAATAATAATAATAATAATAATAATGATAATAATGAGGACGATTGCCAATTTAGATGTTTAACCATGTTACGAATACGTATATCAATTTGTTTTTACCATTAAAATATGTGAATAACTCGTTAAAAACATCGTAAATTTAAAAAATCGTTGTAAGAACATACCATTTATTATATTGCAATATAACACGATCGTTATTTCACTATGAGAAAAATTAACTACAAATTTATTTTAACACTTTGATTGCTCTGAACGTAATATATGCAATGTATTATGACTGTATAATATGCATCATATGAAAAGTTTACACAATCAAATGGTTATAAATCTTGTTTGCTTAAAGAAAAACACAGAATATTTTCAATAAGTCCATGCTACTGTATATTACTTAATGAAAAAGAAAAAGATGAAATGAAAAGAAAAAAAAAAGAAAAAAACACGAATAAATAAATAAATTTAATTTTATTGAAATTAAAAATGAAATTATTTCTCCTTTTCTCTTTCATTCCATTGAATATTAAATTTCTTTTTTTACACAAGTAAAAATATCACTTTCATTTTATCATAATATTTTGCTTTAAATATAAATTAAAAAAAAAAAATAAGATTAAAAAAAGCATAACATTAAAATAAAAAACAGAAATCTACTATTACCGACGTCGATAAAACACAAAAGAGATCTAGGGTTTGTGTTTTTTATCTTCACCGTTAGATAGCGCTCAGAACAACATCTCCCCCACTCATATTGAAATATATAAATACATATAGAAGTCCATAGCAGTTAACCTCTTAGCGTGTAATCGTTTCTGTAATTTGCCATTTATATTTATTAATTATTGATAAAGTTATAAAAGTTGCATAATTCAATATTAAATATTGTATAAAAAGTGTGTATATAAAAGATTCCATCAGTATTTGAATAGAAGAAGAAAGAAACAACGATAGGAATAAAAGGTTAGTTAGTTATTTATATCAACAATATATAACAATTATACTAACAATTTTATCATAGAAATTTATTTATTATATATTATTTCATTCGCAATATTATTATTTCTATATAAAATCCAAATTTTTTATATAAAATAAATATTTGTTTATGTTGTTACATAGAATGTACAAATATTTGCATCATTTCAATGTCCATTATTTTTATCTACATAAAGAAATTCAAATGTTTATATTTTATATTTTATAATATTTTTAACATATGACAATTACTGCTACACGTATGACCACACTAACAATATTCCATTTGAGAATTTTAGGTTCAAAATGTCTAGCACATCACAGAAACATAAAAATTTTGTGGCCGAGCCTATGGGAGAAAAACCAGTCACCGATTTAGCTGGTGTTGGTGAAGTTCTTGGAAGAAGATTGGAAGCGGCTGGTTTTGATAAGGTATGTGTTTATCCTGACAATACGTTCTTTCAAATTTTATTTTAAAAGATTTTCTATATCCATTCACTTTAAACAACACAACACATAGTACTAATTTTATTCTACTCTCTAATAATACTTGTAATAAAAAACTTTAATTTTTATATAGCATGAACTATCATATTATATATTCTATTATATTGCATTCTATTATACAATAAAAAGTACGATATTTGAACCTTTTACACTTGAAGGCTCAGAAGTGGGAGTCATTTTTATTTAAGTATAAAAAGTTTCTAGTTCATAATGTGACAATAAAAACAAATTATAATAACTTCATTTATTTTTGTAAAAAATTGTGATAATGAAATGTTTCCTAAAAAATCTTTCCAGTGCTAAAGGTTAATTGTATAAATATATATGTTTAAACACACATTATATTTTCTAGGCATACGTAGTACTTGGACAATATTTAGTTTTGAAGAAAAATAAAGAGCTATTTCAAGAGTGGATGAAAGACGCTTGTTCGGCTAATGCAAAACAATCAAATGACTGTTATCAGTGTCTTACAGATTGGTGCGAAGAATTCTTGTAAATTATTAAGATAATTGGATATTTTTAAAATATTAATGTTATATGTGAAGAGTACATTAACATCGAAGAATATTTTCTAACTTAGCGTGTAGAACTCTTTTAACATATATTACGATGCTCTTTATATTTTTGCAGAAAATAGATAAAGGTTTTAAAAAGCCACTATTTTATACTTCGTACTTTTATTATTGACATTTAAAAAAAAATGTATAAATATATGAAAATATTTTTATCAATTTGTCTAAAAAAAAAAAAAAAAACAAAATAAGAAAAAGATAGAAAGAAAAAGAGAAATATTTTTGTTAACTTGGCATATAGAAATCATCCTGTCACAGTTATATATTACGTTTTACAAATTTTCGCAAAATTTTTAATTTAATATTAAGAAGTAAAATAAAAACACAAAAACATTTGCAACAATTCATTTTTAATTATTCTTCATTTGGAAGTATCACTTATGATAAGAAATATATATATATATATAATTGGAGATTATATTATAGACACATTAAATTGAAATTTTACAAAAACTATGCATAAACCGTTGTGCACACAAATGAGTGTTTACATTAATTTACAACATTTTCATTTTGATATTCATTAAATGAATTTAATTTAATTTGTGAATAGGTAACATACTTTTTATCTTAGCAGTTGGTAATACTTTCTCTTTTCTCATTCTGTCCCACAACTTTACTCCTTGTAAGAGATCATTCCTTGAAACTAAATAATAATTACTCGTTAGATGCGTTATAACAATTATTAAAAGTTATATGAAATATTTGTTAATAAATTTGTACATCGTTCTATAAAGAATGTAATTATAATACTGACCGTAAATGAAGGCAAGACATTCGTACAAAGCTAATCTGTTTGCATTAGGATAATCAATAGTAAAGTCAAGTAATTTATTTAATAGCCAATCTCTCTCTGTTAAAGAATAATACTGCAAAATCTCTTTTATTATTTCTAAATTGTAATTGGATGTACAAAAAAACTGTGAAAAAGGGAACACAAATCAGATTATAAATAATATTACACGTGATATAAAGAAAAAAAAATACATTGAACTGTTTACTTGTAATAGCTTCTTAGCTTCCTCTTGATAATTTTTCCTCAAAAAGCATATTATTAATTCTCCTAAAATATATTCTTCATCGTAACTTTTAATAGCAATGTTCATCAAATCTTGCAATATCTTTGCATCGTTTACTAAGACAACTAGTTTGACTAATTGATGAAATGCAGGTATATAATTATATTTTTTATTCAAAATTTCAGCCATTTCCAAAGCTTTGCGTATATTGCCTCTATTAAATGATAAAACAAAATGTAATTAAAAGAACACATACTGCAAGTATGATAAATGTCATAATGTGAAAAGAATTTTCTTTTGCATGAGATTTCATCACAAAATAAGCGATAAGAGATATAACATATTTTTGTTTATAAACTAAAAATATGTTCTCTCTTCTAATATATAATTAAAAACTACCACATAAGCTCAAAGATATTAATTTTATCAAATTCGTATGATTAAATAAACAATTATTAAATACATACCGATTAACATGAACTGTAATAAGCAAGTTTAAATAATTTTTTGGTGCTATGATATAATTTTGTTGTTGAAGTATATCAACAAATGTGTGTAATATTACATCATTGCCTATTAAAGCAACTTCATTTAATAATTTTCTAGTCTCTTCTAGTATAAGGTAACTTTTAACTTGGATCATTTGACCGGTATATTTTATTAGTTCTGCTGCATCTAAATCAATAATTAAAAATCATTTAAAATATATATACATTTTAGAAATCACTTTTCTTTTTGTATATTATTATTTTCTATTAAAATAAAGAGACTCTCCATGGTTTCCTTATGAACTATATAGATTTACGAAAAAGAAAAATATAAAAGAAGAAAAATTTAATATTTTTACACGCGAATATAAATCGTTGGGAATTTTAATAGAAATGAATAAACTTCAAAAGTTATATGATTAAAAATATTTCAATGTTTCATTTAACAATTATCTTTTATGTGAAAAAATTTCAAATAGAAAGAAACAAAATATAGCTTACCATTAATATCACCTTCTGATATTAATTTTTTCGCGTAATTTAAAGCTAATTTGGCCGTAGCATCAGAAGGATTTTTGGTTATATATTGTTCCAAAACTTTTCTACTTTCTTCTTTGGAGTATTCGTTAATTAATTTATTCATAAAAAAAAAATTGTTGTGGGCTGATACATTGGTATTCCGAGTGTTTAATTTCTACAACATATCAATTGAATTTTTCTATAATTTTATCAATTCTATACCCACTTAACACAGTACTAATTTTTCAACATGTTACGGTAGAATTATATTAATCATTTTAACGATGTTTAATATAAAAAACATAAAATATATTATATGATACCATAAAATTACTGAGTGGCAATGTGTAAAATTAGAATAAGTAAGAGAATGCAATTATTGAAGTATCGAATTATTTGTTTTTTATGTTCATTTGTCATATTTATCATCTATTCCCAAGATACGTATTATTACTAATTAGATTTTGACATGCAGATAGATTTACAGAAGGATTCAAAAAAAAAACAAAATACACATAAGATAAAATTAATCATTCGAGTATTAATTAACACTAGTTTATTTTATATTTCTAAAATATAAAATATTACTTTTTTCTTAATTAGTAATTCTTCCAATTTTATTGAATTCGAGTGAATGAGTTTTTACCGAAGAGTTGTTGACTTTCCTTAAATTTTTTAACAAACGTGATGTTTTATTTATTGGTGATTTCTTTTGATATTCGGATAAAATCTTATGAGTATCATCAGAAATACTTATTCCGTTCTTTGATATATAATCTAGTATCTGAAAGTTAAAATAAAATATTTAAAATAATTTTGATGCAAATGTTTAAATATAACTGAAAAGACATATATGTGCAATTATATATATATATATACCTGAGAAATACGCGTTGGATTTTCTTTTAAGAAATTCAAAACATCAATTATTTTCTCATCGAAAGAAACTTTTTCTATTTCCCCAGATTTAGTTTTTGTACTGAGATTATTTGCAATTATCAAATAAGAATTAATATCACCTGTATTAAATAATGCCAATTTGAGTTTTGATTTCAATATGAAATCATCGTAATAATATGGATGCTCCTTAACTGTACAAATAAAATGTATTAACAATTACATAACATTTAAGGTTGCATATTTTTATTTTTATATACAGAGTGGAGCAATATCTCTGTCCAGTTAGAATATTGTCGTTGTTCTCTATGAAAATCCAATCATTGAAATCATTGAAATCTCCTCTATGCTTCCACCCACGCAAAAAACGTTCAAGCCAAAACATGCCCCTCAGCATGCCGTGTAAGTTGCGTATATAAAATTTGTTATATTGTTATAAACAACGACAATATTCTAACTGGACAGAGATATTGTGTTCCACCCTGTATATAATTATAATTATTATATTTACTTACTATATTCTGAACTAAGCCTTGTTTTAGAACATGATAACCAATAATAAACTAAAGCATTCCTTGTTATTTCTGCCGGTATGTTGTATTGTGATAATATGAAAGTAGTACTCAAGATAGGAGTTAAAATATTAGGTAAAATGTAATCTGCAACAGTATTTACACAAGGTACAACATCGTATACCTCTTTTATATTCTTCACATATTCTAGAAGACCTAATAGAAAAAATTCAATATTAGATTTATTGTAATTATAAAAAAAAAAATATATATATATATATATATATATATATATATATATAGAGTAAATAATCAATATAGTACCTTTCATATCATTATTTTGTTGAAATTTACATAAAATTGGCCAAAAATAATGTGGCCTAAGTTTATGTCCTCTATTTTTCCATTCTTTTAATAAACTTAATGCTAAGTCATCCTTATTTTGTTTGAAAGCATAATAAATCGCTTGGACAAATACTTTTTTATTGTCGCAATACGTGTAAAATTCATTACACAATTCTACAACTTTTTCATTTGGCTAAGATAAAATATAATAAATATATATAGATATATAATAAATATATATGTTTCACACTCCAAATTCAATTTTTTGCAAATCAAATTCCAAAATTCTAATAGATTTTGAATACAATTTTATATTTACCAAAGATTGAATTTGATTCAAAAAGAAAAAAAAAAAGAAAGGAATTTAATATGCAAAACACTAAATTTAGAGTGAAAAACTTGTAATATTGTTTGCCTTTTTTTCTCTCATACATACCGCACAGCATATTATTTTATGTAAAAAGAAATTTTCAAATTGAAACTTCGTTAATAAGAATTTCATATCAGAATGAAAATAATAATACATTTTCTTAGCTATGTTTTCTTGTTTGAGATCAATGATCCTTGATATAAATTCAAATACCTCAATATCAAATGGTCTTTTTAATTCAGCGAGCATCTGTAAATAATTAGTATTATTCAAAAATGTGTATATACATATATATATTCTTTGCACAGTAATATTTTCTAATAATATCTTACCTCGTTGACAAAATTCACATTTTTATTAGCTATCAAAGTATATATTACATCTAATAAATTTTCATTCGTAAAAGATATACCTTCCATTCGACATTTATTTAATATTTCTTGTATACTTCGTGTATTATTATGTGTAGCATGAGCACACATTAATGTACTGTAAGTCTTATTCGTAGGAGTTACATTAAAATCTTTCATGATTCTAAGAACATTTAATGCACTTTCTAGATCACTTAAAAGAACAAATTTATTTAATATTAATATCAAGCAAATGTAGTGATTATAGAAATTAATAATAACAATGAAAGTATTCTACTGAAAAACAAAAACAAAAATATAAATATATTTACCCAACTTGAGTATATCCCACAATGAATGAATTAAATACATCATCGGATAATACATAATTTTCATCCTTCATACATTGAAATACTGTCATAGCTTCTGAGATATTACCCTTCGTACAATAATACTTTAAAAGTTTTTTATATGTACTTTCATCCGGCTCAATAGATTGTTTTTTCATATCGGATAAAATGTCCAATGGAGAAAATTCATATTTATTTTTTAAATATATTTCTAATAGCGAATTATAATATGACACATCCATTTGGATATCTTAAATTAAAAGAAAGAAAAAAAAAAGTTAAATTTTGTTACAAAGTTAAGAAAGAAGGAAAAAACAAGATTAAGTAAAAGGATGAACTTACTATAAATATTAAATAATTTCCACAAAGTAGTCGCTAGATTCATTCTTTGTTCGGGTGTACATTGCAACAATAAATTGCAACTCTGCAGAATTGATAGAGCCTGTGAAGAATCGATTTTTCCTGAAATGAAATAATATCGTGTATTCCAACGATTAATAAATAATTTTACATATTGTTTAATTATTTGTAATGAATTATCTTGCAAATAGTTTATACCAGAAATGACAAATAAAGTAGTACATAGAAGTAATATTTGATGGTATGTACACATATTGAAAACTCACTTCCACGTTCAATAAAATTTCATAGAAAACACAGACTATTCGATAGAATTATATATACGAGATCTAATAAGATTAAACGCGTAATCATTTGTATTTATTATATTCATTTATCAATATATCTTGTAGAAGAAAAAGATTACAATAAATATCAGTATATATTTAAGCATGCAGATCAAACCCATTTGCCATCACTGATTCATACCACATTAGCAAGATTTGTCCATATAAAATAATATATAAAATAATTTTACCTTCTATCTGTATGCCATTTATAATCTCATCAATTGTTTGTTTATCAATGATTTGTTTATTTTCCAATTTTTTATTCACTTTTTCAATTAGCGAATCTATATTCCGTTCTGTATTTTGATAGGTATAAAAATCTACCTGCTTTCTATTATAACTTTCAAATAAATATATAATAATAATAATAATAACTTGGATAAAATTTAATATAAATATAAATAATAATAACTAAAAAGTTATTAATCAATCATATGAAAATAAAGCTAACTAACCTTACATTCGTTTCTGGAACATTTGGTACATTTGCTAAGCATAGAAATCTTATATTACTCCCATTGGTTTGAATTAATTTGGAAATATTTCTTAGATATGTAATACATTTACTGGAATGAAGAAATAACGCCATAATAATTATATATTGAAATACAATTTAGAAAACGATAATGCACATAATTTAAGGTTAAGAAAGTGCATGTGTCTACAATCGTTATTTCAATACGTTACTATTATTATGATCGGTGTTTTATTTTTGATTGCATTTGCAAATGTATTTGAGGAAATAATTTATTTTTTAATCGTACAATCAACAAGAATAAACTTCTTTAATGTTTTATTTTTTATATATTATTAGAATAATTTTTTATATTCACGTAGTTAATAATCAAGTATAACGGACCAATCACAATTTTTAGCGCCAAAGTAAAACTCTTTTGAATTATTTAAAATATGCTCTTCAAAATTCAAGTAAGATAATTTAATATTATATTTATTTTAAAAAAAAGATAATTGTTAGGGATAAAGACGATTGTTATTTAGGATTTCACATGAGAGAAATAATTTCAATAAATTATTTCATTTAATTTAAGTATATTCTATTCATTTAAATCTCATACAGAAGGTTTCTTTTACAATACTTTAATATGAGTTTGATTTTTAAGATTGATAAAATTCAATTTATATAAAAAATCAATTGAAAATTTAGTACGTTGCTTTCAAGCTGCTGATGTCTGTGATAATCCATTGAAAGTCTTATGATTGTTCTCTTAATACCAGGAAATTTTTCTAACAAAGGAGACAGTGCGATCGTCCCCCCCCCCTCAGATTTTTGTGAAATTTGGTATACTTGTACTAATCCATTAGAAGTATCATTGTACCTTTAAACTTGTTGCAAATATCCAGGCGTTTGCGAAAAAAACGCCAATTGAAATTTCAAATAAATGTGTATTCTTTTAGTTGTAATAGTTTACAGCTGTTTCGCAAACGGTTGGCCATGTATGTCTCCTAGTTCAAAAGCACAATGTATTTTTTCATGAAGTACTACAAGTGTGTAAAATTTGAAAAAAAAATCTGAGATTTACACTTCTTAGTCTCTTCTGGTAAGAGAAGAACATGATTTTAGAAAATATTGGAACGTTTCATGAAGATGAATATATTCACGATATTTTTCATTTTTTTATTTTTTAATTTTTTTATTTTTAAGGCGATCAGACAATGTATACGGTTTATCACAACGAGTGGCTTGAAATGTAACTATTTCGTATCTATATCGGACGTGTTACAGATACAGGTATATGTATTTTATATTTACACCATCTGTTAAGGTATATATATATATATATATATGTATATACTATCTATAGATCAAAAAATGTTCTACGTTTTATATGATTTATCCTGTATTAGTGGGTGTATTATATCTATCCTATCGTTTAAAGTTGGTCAATAAGTTTCACTATCGATCGAATAAATTTTATTGAATGACGTTTAAATTCGTAATTCGATTATATTTTACTTTTCTATAAAATAAAATCAAAAATCTAACAAACAGATCTACGACGAAGAAAAAAGAAAAATCTATGAGGATGTATTGAAAAGTTGTGAGCCTCAAGAAAAAAGAAAAAAGAAAAGCCTCTTATTTTTGTAATACGAGTTAGTTGGATAAGAGAAAAAAAAAGAAAGTTATTTCTATGTGTTAAGGGTCAAGACTTTTCAATTCATCCATGTATACGTGAATGTAGATATTTAAGATTGAATGACATCTTAGAATTATTCTATCTTTCAATGTTGCTGAAAAAGGAGTAATCATTTTCTGAGCAAAGGAACTACGTTATATAATTAACGTTAATCCTTTATAAATCCTTTAATAAATCCTTTCAAATATATACCCCATTTATATAAGCTTAATCCTAGAATCGATTACGTTAGCAAATGGTGAAATTATGTATAACTCTAGGTAATTGAAAGTTTCGAACAGAAAAGAGAGAGATCATTGTAAAGTATCGTATTGTTTACATATGTAAATGCTTATGTATGTGTGTGTGTGTGTGTGTGTATGTTTTTACGACAAAATACATGAATTTCTTTTAGATTCAGCACGTTCTCGTATTTGTTGCAAATGTTGCAATTGCGCCGGCGATGGTACGTGAGCGCTGCTACTGCGCGAATTCAAATGCGGAGGCGGTGGTAAAGATTGACGACGTCTTCTACGTAACGCTGGACTCAAGTTGTATTTCAATTTGGCCTGTAATAATAATTCTTTAAATACTTCAGAAATATTTAAATTTTCTTTTGCAGATACTTGGACGAAACCATTTTCCCATTTGGATGTCACCAATTCTCTGGTACTCTCGCTGTCAACCTGTACAAATCCCACGCAAGAAAAACAATATGGTTAATCAATTATATCTTTTTTATTAGTTTTTTTATTATTATTATTATTATTATTATTAGAATTAAGGAAATTAATTTTACCTCTTGCTCCTTCTCCACCAGATCCAATTTATTACCAACGACAACGATAGGTACCACTCCTTTCGTATTCAATATCAACGTCCTCAAGGTTTTCACTTCGTGAAATGTATTGACATCGTTCACATCGTAGACTAAGACAAACGCATCCGCCGATTTAATAGACAGATCTCTCATAGCTGGAAATTCGTAAGAGCCGGAAGTGTCCAAGATGTCGAGAATTAAATGAATACCGGATACGTTAAAGTCACCATGATGCATTTCCTCAACGGTGCGTTTATATTTTGGCGTGAAGGTAGCGTAAAGAAATTGATTGATTATTGCCGATTTGCCAACCTTGGCAGCACCCATTACTACTATTTTATGTCTTACAGAACTTTCGGCTGATTTTCCATCGCCACCACCGCTATCCGATTCCGATAATCTTTCGTTTCTGGAATTACAGAAATAGTGTGTATGCATATGTGTGTGTGTATGTGTGTGTGTGTTTGTGTATGTACTACGTGATTTATGCTTCATTATATTCATTCAATCAAAGGTCATTTATTTTCTTTTCTTTTAAAGATTCAATTGAGTATTTCTAAATAGTAGTACATTAAAATCATCTTAAATAATATCTCGAAGAGAAGATAGAATCGTGCTAACGAATGTTAAAGATCTCTTTTAAGTACGAAATGCGCTCTATTGAATGCGCTCATTGTACAAAAGCGTCCTGATTTCTCCGACGAAACCAGAATAGTGCGGTTCGTCTTCAAATAGGGTTGAAACATGGCTTGAAAAGGCGGAAGGAAGAGAAAGAAAGAGAGAGAGAGAGAAAGAGAAGGATGATGGGTCCAAGGTTTTCACATGCACCAGATAACAGCTATCTTGATCGAAAATCTCATCGTCTTGGTAATAATCTATGCTTATTAGTGGGGAAAGATACAGAGACACACACACTTATTACGATACAAAGAATAAAGACCCGGATAAAGTACAATTGAGATCCTACTTTTTTTCCCCCTACTCTCTCTCTCTCTCTCTCTCTCTTCCTCTCCATTAAGATTCTCGCGAAATGAAGCAAATTTCTTCTTTTCTTTTTTGTATCTGAGAAGTTGTTGGCAAAGAAAAAAACGATAAACGATCGAGGATAAGTGAAATGTAGTGGTTGAAAAGGTAGGAAAAATTATTGAAGGGATGGAATACCGTTAGGGATAGGTATAAATAACTTTACTGGCCATATTATTATTTATTTTGTTCATATACAAGGGGTGAGATAAAAGTCGCTTTTTTTTCTTAATATCATTTTGAAGAGAAGAAAAATGAAAATTTGAACATATTTTAATTATTCATTTATTTCTTGGTAACTTAAATTGGTGTCCAAGTTCTCGAATGATTGTTTTATTATCAACTATGTGTGATTGTCATTAATACAAATTTGATAATATCTGAGAAAAGCGAATTTATCTCACCATATATATATATATATATATATATATAGATATATACTTGTGTTTTATCTATACCTATATACGGTATCATATAAATGAAAAAATTGAACCAACCTAGCATTTTTCGTCGTTCCATCTTCCTGTCCTTCTTTCAACGACGATGGTTGGAGACTAAATCGTCGTCGAAAGTGGTGTCGACCCTTCATCATTTGTGCCAACAATTTTCTGAAATATCAAAATGTACGATTCATACTCAAGCTTTTATATATATATATATATATTTGGTTTGTTGCATTTTTTAACATAAAATATTATTTCTAGCAAATAACGCAAATATATTATTTTATCGCGTTAGATAAATATTATTTTCTTTTTCCTACAAAAAAGAAAAAACAAATTATATCTCTCGAAGCTAAAAGGTTATGGGAAATGGGTATGGGAAAGAAAAAAAAAGAGTACATCAAAGTTATTTATAAATAATATATGGAAATATTTTTTTTTCACCTTTGGTACTCTCAATTTTATTTCTAAAAAAAAAAAAGATTCATACGTGTATTCATGTGCATATATACATATATGTATTTATATATATATATATATATATATTTTTTTTTTTACGTTGGTTACCCGCAATTTCTTTTTCTCTCGAAACAAATATTTCATAAAGCAACTGAATATGAAAAAAGAAATATCGGACTCGCACGCACAATTTTCTGTTTGTATAGTTACATGTACATATCTATATATATATATGTATATCATTCTTTATTTTCTTTTTTTTTTTTGCGTTTGTTAACCATGATTTAGTTTGAAGTAAAGTTGTTCTTAAAAAACCGTGTAAAAAAGCTCGGAGGAATAAAGAAAGTAAATAGATGTCCACCTTTAAAACAACTCTCTCTTTCTCTTACCTTTGTAGTTTAATGATATTTCCTCGAGAAATTTTCTCGGATAAAAAAAAAAAAAAAAAAAAAAAAAAAAAAAAGAAAACAAACGAAGGAAAATGAAATTAACGCGAACGATGCCTATCATTTTTCTTACGTATAAAATGAGCTACTCTTTTTCGAACGAGGGAATAAAAAAAAATATATATATATTAAAAGAATAGAAAAATATTTTATAAAAAAAAAATCGTGAAGAAGAAGAAATAATTTTCTGTTGTTTTGTGCTTTCAATGTTACATATCCGTTTTCGCAATTTCGTCTAAATTTTTTAAATATTTTTTATAATAATAATAATAATAATAATTATATTTGAGCATTATGCGCTCACACGAATTTAAACTCGGGTTGCAGGAAAAAAAAATAAAAAAAAAAATAAAAAAAAGGCTTTTTCTCGTACGATCGATATCAAAGAGTAACGCAATTTCCATCGAGATAACAGATATTCAAGAACCAGGATCAAGTACTACGTGAGATTAATCACGCTCGATAAGGACAACGCGATCGATTAAACCATCCGATAAATGCTATGCGACCGATTGAGTTTGAGTTTCCAAGTTTCCTCATCCCTCTCGTCTTTTTTTTTTTAATCAAACATAAAAATTGATCCAAAAAAAAAGAAAAAGAAAAAAGAACATTTATCAAAACTATGTTAGAAACGTTGAAAAAAAAAAAAAAATCAACTCGAAGGACATACATAGTGACATGTAAATTTGTATTCCTTTGACGTAATAATAAATTAATTAAACGTTAATTAAATCGAATATCAAAGCTGTCAAGTTTTGGACACATCCTAGTACGATTTAATCGTTCAATTTAATAGAAAATTCTAATTCAACGTCACGTTCATCTAATTCCAATTGAAATAGATCTAAAAATGCGTGGCGAGTGATAAAACGTTTTGCTCAACTTTCGAGTTTTCGAACAAAAAAGGAAGATTAGAAGAAAAGTTAGTTGAAAAGTAACGGAGTCATCGCTTTCTTGCGATCTTTCAACTTGACTCTTTCGAAGGAGTTCTTGAAGAGGAAATGAAGAGGAAGAGGAAGAGGAAGAAATAAAGAAAAAGATTGGGCGACGGGTCGACGACGCGACGTAAAGCGAAGCGAGGCGACGCGACGCCAGACCAGACCAGGCCAGGCCAGGCCAGGCCAAGCCAGGGGTTATCTTGAAAAATAAAATAAAAGAATAAAAGATAGAAGTAAAGCAAATGCATAAACGCGGAAGGAAAAATACCCCCCACGTTGTTCACTCAGCTTTCACCATTGGTGTTTCAGCATGTTGCCTATTTTGCTACATCCTTTCTAGTTTTCTTCCTTTTTCTTATACCAGACCCCATTGGTCTTTTGTCCATGTAAACTAAATCGAAAAACGAAAGTAAGTACTTCACGTATACTTGTATGTTATAGGTAGAAAGAAAAAGCCGACAGAATGGAGCCCAGAACTGAGCCAAGAACGACACAAGGAGAGTTTTAACATGCTTCCTTGCTTCCTCCGGTCATTGCTCCACTTATGTTAACGTGCATACGCGTCTTTACACTTATTCGCACACCACCCCTCGCACACACGATTATTGCCGTTCGATACGTGACACCTTCGAGCTTTTACCTATTATTTGACCTACCCCCTGTCATTAAAAAGAACAAGAAAAAGAAAAAGAAGTTCCATTTAATCCCTCCACCCCTACATCTTTCTATATAGGGAACAATCATAAATTATTATACCACTTTCTTTTTTCTTTCTTTTGTGAATCTCATTTAGTGTTCCTTTCCATCTTTTTTTTTTCCTTTTCTTTTTTAACGATGTAAATCAAGAAAACTAGCAACACGCTTCTTTACTTTACGGTCTATCGCACGTGATTTATCTCGCGCCTCGTTAAACAGATTCGAGAAGCGAAAAAAATGTATTCCAGCATCCCTTACCCAGGGCAAGTCGATTTAACGTCAAAAAGGATAACGACGTTTAACCGAGAAAAAGCTTATATAAAAGTTAACTTGAAATATTTCACACCTTACGTATATTTGATGTATAAATCATACAAATGGTGTGAGAGAAATCGGGATAGAACAGAGAAGTCAAGGGAGAAAGAAAAAAAACGGGGTGGGGCGGGGTGGGGGAGGGGGGTATTAGAATTTGAATGAAGTAACTTACATGCGTGAGAAGGTTGGAAGGGTTCTTTAATATAAACGTAGACGAAAGAACGGGTATGGTTTCGAAGAGACAAAAGATAAGAGGGTGGGTATGTATAAAGATACCTCGATAGAGTACACTTATTGTTGGCCTTTCTCTTTTACGTTCTAACAAACATCGTAGAGAAAAGATGAAAGAGATGGTTAACATCTTTTTGCTAGTAGAAGGAAGAACAAGTAAGAAATTTTTAAAAAGATGGACTTGTGGGGGGTGGGGTGGGGGTGGGGTGGGGGATGAGTAGCCTAGGTGGTTTGTTTAAATTCAGCTGAAACCACCATTGGCAGAGTAGACTATCCTTTCGGTGTTTGGATTTCTTCCAACCAAGTCAAATTTGCAACGTGTTCTTATGCATCGATGTATTCGTTCTCACGGTTCCGAAACAACGACCGCATCAAAATTTGGCCAAGATAAAACGGGTCGAGACTATATCGTACCGATCGTGTCCGTCCAGTACTATTTGTAAATGGAAATAAGTAAAGGAAAAGAGAGTCCATTTTTATAGATCAAACCGATATATAAGGTCGTTGCTCGAAGAATTTTCTTTACGAGTTTTGGCATGAAAAAGACACATGATTTTATTTATAGTTCTTGTTTTTTTCTTTTTTTTTTTTTTTTGCGAAAAGAATAATCTAACGTGAGTTTGGTATTTTCAAACTTACTTTTACAGGAAAATAAAATAAATTTCTTTTTTATTACGAACTTTATGCATTTGTACGTTGCATCCAATTGTTATATATTTGTTCCCTCTTTGTACGTAACACTGTTATGTGTATGCGTGTACTCGTATATGTTTGTAGTAATAGTACTAGAAATACTAGGAATACTAGGAAGTATAGTATACGTTGCACTGGCTAAATGTAGGTGAGACCGATGTGGGGTAATGTCCTTTGGCGTAAACACGTTGGCAGGGCAAAAGGGTATATTATCGAAAGAGGAAGGGCTGAATCGTTTGGTCACCTCCCCAATCCACTCCCTCCTTCTATAGATATTTGGGTTAAAACCACGATACTATAACGTAGAACGGATGTATCTTTGCAAACTACCCACAATTCATCCGCAACAAATATCAAAATTATATTTATATATATATGCGTGCGTATATTATTCTCCGATATCATCAATTTTCAATATTATTAATGACTGCAACACGCACATAGATATCTCTTTATTCTGAGTAAAGCATCGATGTCTCTCTTCTCTCTCTCTCTCTCTCTCTCTCTCCTCCTCCTTCTTTTTTTGTTCTCTTCCTTCTCCCTCTTTGATGTTACGCGCACGTTGCACAACATACATTTTTCTTGTTCATACATTTTTGTTTGTTCATTTGTTAGTTGTTGCATTTTTCTTTAGAAAAGTTGTGCACGACTGAAAAACATTTCATAAATCAATTTGAACTTGATTTAAATTCTATTCGATGAAAAATGACTAGTTTTGTCGTTGGACACTTTTTTCTTTCTTTCCTTGTTTTTTTTTTGTTTTTACTTTAAAATTGAAAATCTTTCAACGACGATTTATTCTTAGCTCTTTTAACATAAATCAAAATGTAACATTTGTTACGAACGTAATAGTAGTTGTCACGGTTATCTAGCCGAAAAATCACATATCTATAAAAAAAAAACGTACTTTCCATAATACGGTTTTCGTTTACCATCCGCCGATTTTTCCGGAATCATCATACTTCCTTTCGCATTTCCTTTTTGATACATGCAAACGGATGCAAGGATGCGCGATGAGAAGACGACATACTGTCGTGGGATTTCAATTCCCACGCTTTTATTTTTCTTTTTTTTTTTTTTATTTATTTTCTTTTATTTCCTCCACCTCTCTCGTCATCCAACTTTTTACCATATCGTATCAACTCGAACGAACGAAAAAAAAAAAAAAGCAGAGAAACAAGGAAAAGATCAAAGATATATATAAATATATATATATACGCCTGGAGTCGTGATTTTTTTAACGATGATTTATGGTAACAATGATTTTTAAAATGAAAAAAAAAAAGAAAGGTTAACGGAAATTGCCATACTCGGTGACAAGAATTTTAATTATTTTTTTCCTCGTGAAAAAACAAAAAAAAAGTAGAGATAAAAAAAAGAAACAATAGATAATACAATAATGTTTTATAAAATTGTTCATTTGAATAATATCAAACTAGTATCTTCTTACTTTAGTGTTTATCTAGTTTGTAATACCAGAAGATTAGCGAAAGGAATACATTATTCTGACCCTCTTTTATTATGCAGGCAGGGATATAAGCAAAGTTTGTTATAGATAAAGATATCCGGTAGTGTGGTTAAATTTTTGCAAGAATTTCAAATTCTAACACACATTGTGGTTCATGAAAACTCGGTTTTAACATTATACCTGATTATAATGTTAAATGATATCTTCTTTCTTTTATTTTTTCTTCCTTTAATTCATTTTCTTATGGTTTTATTTTTTTTTTTAGTATCCTTTTCTTGCTTATTATATTAGGTCGAGTCATAAATATAACTTCTGTTATTAATGAGACAAAGAAAATGGTGTTTCTGCGACTGATAAGTGCAAGACACCTTTCATGGAGTTTTTTATTTTCTTCCACTCTTTGCAATTGTTCAACGTATCTATTGGATTTTGCCCCAATATTACCTTTAAAAGGTTCATCAAAGTCGGAAATACGTCGCTGCACTCGGTTCATCTTTTAAGATCGTATCTCCAGAACGGAATTTTATAAACCAATTTCTAACTACCCTATCAATTATCAGTCCTGCACCGTAATTGCTGTATATTTTTTCAGTTGCCACCTTAGTACTATTGCCTTGTTTCAATTCTTAAAGGATTACATATCGAATTTGCACTTTTTACTATCTATTTCAGTGGTTAAGCAAAACGGTTAAATGTAACATTGACTACATCAAAAAATTTGACAGAAGACTAACTGAATCCTCATCTATGTAGTGATATCGAAAATCCGTTTGTTTCGGTGACTTATAATAGGTAAATACAAAAAATAGATTAGTTAGTTTACTCGACCTAATATATCTTCTTTCATTACTATCACACACTCTCTCTCTCTCTCTTTCTCTTTCGTATCTCAGTTTCTTCAGCACTAGCGTTAAAAGTTATGTAGGTTACACGTCGTTACGTGAAATAACTTTCTGGATGGTACTAGACCAGTCTATGGCGAGTGGAAAACTATCTCTAGCTCCATAACTTTGCCATTCTATACTTCGACGAGTCATACTAAAGCGGGAATATAGCGGTTTAACCGCGCAACTTCAACATGTGCTTGGGGAAAACGAAAACTCATTTCTACCAAATGTCAGAGTTTACCATTTCAACTTGTTACGTACGAGTATAGTTAATTGTATCCAATACTTTCCTATATTGTAATTTACTAAACGTGTTATATTAATTACGCAAAACTAAAAACAACGACGACGACGACGACGAAAAAGATGAAGAAGAAGAAGAAACTAAAAAATACAAATACGAATAGTAAATACGAATAATTTAATAAACTTTCCACCGTAGGATTAATTAAAGTTTCGCGATTGAGATGTCGTTAATTAAATTCTTGTTTTAAATTCATTTAGTTTCTTCTCACGGAAAATATATATTATTAAAGTTCCATTTTTACATTTAGCAAATTTATTTTCCTAGTGTGTTAAGAATATGTGTCTCTGTGTGTGTGTATGTATGTGTGTGTGTGCCTGGGGAAAAATAAAATTATTCTCGTAAAAATTACGTGCCTTTTCATTACATTAAAACGCGTAGGTTCATTTCATCGTGGATAATTTAACAATTGTAAATAAATATTAATTATATGTTATAAATTGTATATTATAAAAAGAACAAGAGAAGAACAAAAATTAATAATAATAATAATAATAGAATTAACGAAGTGATTTGATATTGTTTCTATTACTTGCCTCTAGATGGTCAAGGGCCGGCACCGGTTTCCTCGTTAACAGGTGTAACGTAAGCGCGGGAAACGTCCAAGATCAACTATGGTTGATAGAGTTTTGATCGTAATTATATTTTTGAAACACAAAATGTTGTTTCTTTACTTTCTCTCTCTCTCTCTCTCTCTTTCTCTCTTTCTTTTTCTGTCCGTATGCGTGTGTGTCTCTTCTATTCCGTTGTTATCTTCCTTCCGTTTATTCGTCTCAATTAGGAGGAAAGACAAAATAATTCAATCGAATATCCAATAATATTTTTTGACGTTGAGATACGTAAGTCAAAGTTGTGTTTGACTTCAAACAACAAGAACAACAAAAAAAGTATATTATTATAATAGTAGTAATAAGTTTAGCAGGGGAATTGAAAATAAAAAATTAAAAAAACGGAAAGAAAAATGATTATTTAGTGAAGTTAAATGTTATCTACGTCTTTAGAATATTTCTTGCACGTTCCTCACTCTTGTCCTCACGAACTCAGTGGAACGAACACGGCAATGCGGTCGAGCTAGCTCTGTCCGGTACTCCGATACCGTTCCACCGCTGCCGGGTGCTGTCTTCGATGCTTTCCTACGGCGTCTGCGCTCTCGTAACCTTCCACCAACCTTCCACCAACAACCTTCCACCTGTCTACCTACATCTATATCTCGCTAGGACCCTCACTCTAACATCTCTCTGATTGGGAGTCATGCTATAATACTTTTCCAACATTTTTATCCTCTTATACGTATACACACGCACACACGCTAGGATTCGCTAGGAAGGATTCGCTAAGAAGGATTCGCTAGAAAATCACCTGCCAAATTCATTTCCCATCGTCATTTCAAAATTGTCTTCTTATATCTCGGCTATTGCTTTTCCAATCAATTTCTTTTTAAATCATTCTTCTTGTTTTTTATCCCATAGAACAAGGAATATTCTTTTTTCTTTTTTTTTTTTTTGAAGTGAAAACTTCTTTAGAATAAGTGTGATTTGAAAAAATGAAACGCGATGATTTAGTGAGAAAACGAAACCGTGATGTAGTGGGGAAAAGAAACGGCTTTAATACTAAGTAAGATTAGAATAAAATTAATTAATAATTAATTCGTTTTTTAAAAGTTTCGCTTTTAACCCATGTGATCTGCACACATGATTCTTTTATTTTTATTTCATATAAAATAATAAATATTATTCTAAAAATATGCATAAATTAATAACAATATTAGAGTTCAATTTTTATCATTTTTTACTTTCTTTGTAATTATTATAAAAATGCGCGCCTGTATGTATGCAACCCTCCAGACACACTTTAAAAATGTTACTTGTGATCGCCATCTGTCGGAACGAAATTTTTTTCTGCCCGAAACATAGGCAACCCGTCATACATACGTGTATAAACAGTTTTGACTGGAAAAAAATTCCGTCCCAATAGATGGCGCTCGCAAGCAACATTTTCAAAGTGTGTCGAGAGTGTTGCATTCATACAGGCGCACATTATTATATAATAAATTAATAATTAAATAAATAATTACAAATTAAAAGTACAAATAATATTATAATAATATTATATAATAAATTATCCTCGAAAGTTGTTTATTTGAAGGTTTCACTTCTAACTTTTGTGTGATATGCACACATGTTTTTTTTTTATAATTTCTAAAATATTTCGATTGTGGTTTTTAGTTTAGCGAAAAATATTGATACCTGTTGTCTATCATTATTTTTAATCGATAGGATTTACACGACAAGTGTTAATTATAAATATTGAAATTACATTAAGAGATAGTTTTAACTTAGACAGAAAGTTTTATTTAAACGAAGAGAAACAGAAAGGGAATAATATACGAGTAATCTCTCCCATATATCACATATATACACTAACATACTTGTGTTTCGGTTTTCTAGGATGCACCTGCTAAATCATTATCTCAGGTCGATGTATTATGTCTACATATATATATATATATTCTTCAAGCTCACATTTCTAAATTCTTTTTTTATGTACGTTTCAGAATTTTATATTCTTCGATGTTTTTTTTTTTGTTATTATTTGTTTTCTTACTTAAGTATGAAGTATCATAATCGTTACGATTCTTTTTAATCAGAGGTTCAACGCGATAAACGTAGAAATCATAAATAAAATGGATTATTCTTCACGAATGAAGCAGCAGCAGTAGCAACAGCAACTGCAGTAGCAGCAGTTTGAGAAAATTATGCGAAATATCGCTGATGTAAGAAACAATGTATCACATAAGAATATTACCTTTGTGAGAGTGTACATAGGTACGGTATGTATATATCACGTTTATGATAAACGTTAACGCGATTATGCCGGTATTATGTCGTATGTAAAAATCGAGATAAAATAGAAAGAGAACATTATTTGCATTTGTTTCGAACGAATATAGGTATTCACATGAAATTGTACAAAAATCTCTTTCTCAATAGTAATAAGAATACGATATTAAAAGATTTTTCAATCTCTCAAAAGAAGAAAAACAAGAAGAGGAAAAAAAACGAAGAAGAAGAAGAAGAACAAGACGTAATAAAACGTGACGACAACGACGACGACAACGACGACGACAACGACGACGACAACGACGACGACAACGACGACGACGAGAGTAGATTAAGAAAATGGAAATTTACGCTTTCATTCGATTTTAGTTAGATCCTCGAAGATCTTTTTCTTTTTTTCCTTTTTTTTTATTTCTTTGTCTTTTCTTCTTTATCCGCTAAAGCGCCAATGAGATGAGATTATTCGCTTTAATCCGAATCGATGTTTTAAACATTTACAATTGCACGGTTATAAATATATTCTACCGGAATAATTCTCATACACGAAATATAAAAAGAGAAAAAAAGAAAAAAAAAAGGTAATTACGTGCGTGTTAATAAAACACAGGTAACGTCTACTACTACTACTACTACTACTACTACTACTACTACTACTACTACTACAACTACAACTACTACTACTGGCTCGAAATGAAAACTGAATAATTCAGTTTCCAATGGGTTTTGATTCGATACTTACAATACCTTTTTATTCCAATGCGTTTTATAAAAAGAACTCCCTTTCTATTTTTTCCCTCTAGCTTTTTTTTTTTATCGTCATATTTAAAATGGTTAACAAAAAATAATATAAGCAAAAGGTTATTATTGGAGAGGAAAAAAATTTTAACAATTTATCCAATTCATATTATTTTATGTTCTGTATTAACAGTAATAATACAACGTTAATACAAAGATCCCTGATATCGCAAGGCATGCTTTGTGCAAAAGTAATAATAATAATACTTCATTGTTACACGAATCTACAATTATAATATATATATATATATATATCTAAAAATGAATTATGTCTATACATCTATACGTATCTCTGTCTCTCTCTCTCTCTTTCTCTCTCTATCTCACAATAAATCTATACACACAATTAATACAAATATTCATCTATTTCAATATCACTTTTTTTTTTATTTCTTACATCTTAAAATATTTGGCATATTTTTATTTTTATTTATTTTTTTTTTGTTTTGTTTGTTTTTTTTAAATTATTTTTCATTTCTTTATAACAATTTTTATTTAATAACAAGTGGAAATTATTTATACTGTTAGATCTATATTTATATACATGATATAATTCCAGGTAACTTATGGCTTTTAATATTTTTCTTTTTTATTAATCTTTTTATCTTTCTTTCTTTTTTTCTTTTCAATTAATTTGGTAACAATAAATATGCACATGGTGCATACTATTTATGGAAAATTTGTGCCCTAAGTAAATGATTTTTATTTTGTTTGTTTTGTTTGTTTAAGGCAAGAAATTAGCTCCATTTATGATATTGTTTCTCTTTTCATTGACATCCTCATTGAGATCTGTATAGGACGATACACACATCGTGTTTTACGCAAATAGTTGCTTTAAAACATATTCTTTAAGTATTTATGTATGCATATTTTATGTACTTACACACAGATATACTTATTTAATATATATATATACGTATTAATATTCGTTGATATCAAGTTATTAGGAATTCTATTTAAATTCAATACGCACATCTTTGTCCTTCTAAAAATGTGTACTTATTTTTCTTTTGTTTTTTTTTCTTTTCTTTTTTCCTAGATAACTATATACGTTTTTAGTATAACAGAAATTCATTCGTTTACGCAATACACATTTGTTATTCTAAAAAAATGAATGAAAAGGAAATGAGATTACGGAGTGTGGAGGAAAAAAAATGAATGTAGATTCGAGAATAGAGAATTAAATGATCGTTGCAAATGTTATATAGACCGTAATAAAATTGTTTTGAGTTATTTCTCGATGAATATAATCGACGATACCATTCAATCACAATTTTTTATCTTTTCTTCTTGAGATAGTATTTCCATTTTTCTTTGCAAACATAATTAACATAAGTAAGTGTTATCTATTTAAAGCTTCAGTATTTTGGCTTTGAGTATTTTTATTTAAATTATCACCTTGACCACTTGGACTAGATAATCTAACTGGTTTGATAGATTTTAATTTGGTCGTTCCACCGTATCGAAAATTAACATCGCTACAAGTATCCAAAGGGTGCATTGTTCCTGTCAAATTCGTCACGGAATCTTCATTGGTAACTTCGATTTTACTCGTTGGAACTTTTTTAACGGAACCCAATTCGTAAGCCGATTTCGAGGGTTTGAATTTTAATTTTGCATTAGATAATGGTAAAGAGACTGATTTTTCTAAATTTGCCGTTTGAATCTTTAAATGATTATCGTTCTGTTCTATGTTATCATTTTGAGATGTCATTGCATCCGTTATTTGTATGTCTATATTGACCGTTTTTGGATCATTTTCGTCATTATTGATTCTTACGTTTGGATCGGTATACTCGTTCCTAAGTGCGGCCAATTGTGCTCGTTGCTTTTGTATATGATTGTGCGAATTAGAAAAAAATGATGATACTTTTTCCAATCTGGTTGCCAAATTTGGTTGGCTCAATGTTGATTTTAAAGGATATGGAGGATCGATCATGTTACTGTTCTTTAAAAAATTATGTGATTCCCTACCGGTCGAATTACTTTTAATCAAACCTTGTTTCGTATGATCTTCTAATATTTTCAATGGATACGATTTGTTCGTATTCCTTCGCTTTTCGGCCAAGCTCAATTGCGAAATTATTCTACGTACATCACCTGGAAAATCTATGTCGTCGCGCGTTTCAGCCAGGTGTTGAATGAATGCGCCCAAAGTTGTAACCGTTACTTCGAGACCACGATTATGAGATTCTAATTTATTCACAACCGATTGTTGCATCGATCGGGCTGTTTCCAAACGTTGCATGTTATTCATTGCTATCTGTAAAACCAAAATTTGCATACAATGAACACTTGTACCGAAAACAAAGAAAAATATTCAAAATAATTTCACGAATTGCATCCTAATGATTTTCTTACCTCCAATTGTTCGTTTAATTGATCGACTTGTTTCATCAATTGTTTGTTAATAACCTTGAATTTTTCCAAACTTTCGATTTGCGGTTTCATCGATACCATTTCTTCTTGTAAAACTTGATATTCCACTCTGTATTCATTCAATTGTTTGGAAACTTCCATGTCCGGATAAAAAACACGTTTCATTACGCGATCCAAGGTGGCCTTGTCAACGGCTGGCACGCGAGTCTAAAAAGATTCATAGAAAAAAAAAAAATAAATAAATTCTTATTCGATGACCACGTTTCCACGTATATATACTTACTTTAAGATATTCCATTATTTCTTCGAAACTGTCACAACACAACAACTGATCTTGATGTTCTTCCAATAACGCGACGGCTACTCGGAATAATATTTCGGAACTTTCGAGAAAAAGTAAATCTGTGACAGAAAGAAGGATGATCGAATAAAAAAAAAATATTCCATCGAATTTTATTGGACGTATAATACGTAAAGTAAAGTAAGGAATGATAGGGGGATCATAAATTTGGAAGAGGTAAGAGAACTTACCAAAAACTCTAGTTACAAAACCTAATGGAAACTGACTGGCAAAGAGGGTCAACAACCACGGTGCTGCATACAAAGTGGGTGACACTTCGTGCTTGTCAAAATGATCATAAAGTGCCGGTAGTCTATCGTGCAGTAATCTTGACAGTTGATATAAGTGCAATTGCAATGCTGCCATATCTGGAAGGTAGAGTTTTCTCAGGCCTCTCCGAAACATCAGATGTCGTAAGAGAAAAAAAGCCTGATCTTCCATCATCTGATTATGAAACAATTAGAAACATTTTTTATGATATATAAAATAAAAATAAAAAAACGACAAGAAGTGTTTCTAATCTAATCGACTAAACTTTTACAACATTGATGCACACTATGCAACATTGAAAATGACATTTATTTAACCGTAAAATTGAATATTTACGTGTAGGAGAAGAATTCCAGCGACAAAACTTAAGCCCTGGCAATAGCCGACTTCGTGATCTAGTAGAGAGTAAGCTTTCAATAAATTGAAAAGTGCTAATTGGCCAGGTCCCAAAGGTGAACTGAAATACGGATGATTTGGAAACGTACGTCCTAAATCGATAAGAATAGCATGTTGCTGAGATGTCAATTGTTTTAGTAATAAATCATAAGATGTATTGTAGTTCGGGAATTCATGAGTATCTATGGGTGGTTGTTTCAGGCAAAATTGTTCCGCTAAAAATTGCCATACTTCGCCCCTTTTTCCTTTAGGTACACCTGAAGAATAGCAAACAGGTATTAGACTATTTTATCTTATTTATTTGTAATCCGGTTTGTTACCTTGCTTGATGGCATGTAAGAGCATTTGATTGTCACACTTCGTAGAAACACGGGATTCCTTGCTAACCAGTAAATCCCATACTTCAACGAGTTCACGAGCACAACTGCTAATTTCGTCGTATTCCAATTTGATTCTTTTCACTGTCGCTTCTTCTTGACGCTCTTAAATTAATTCGAATATTTTATGTTACAACGAATACAATCAATAGTATGTACATTTGCATATAAATGAATGATAAGTAAGTTAGATTATAATACCTTTAAGTCTTGCATTCTCTTTCTCCATTCGTATAAGTATCACTTGTTGGTTAATTGCTTTTTTCCAAAGATCCCTCAATTCCTGTCTCGTTCTGCGCGTAGCAACAGCAGGTGCTTCATTGGCATTAGAACTTTCAGCTTTTCCATTATTTTTATCATGTTCTTTACCAGGCGTTACAACTCGATGTAATATCGCCTGTCTCCAGGAACTGTTGGAATGCATGTCAGTATTTCCGTCGGATTCCGTCGGCGACATTTTCGGCGAGTTGCCTACTTTTAAAAAGCTGCACAAATTAAATCAATGAACAAATAATATTTATAATTGAAGAGAATATTTGTTAAATTATTCCACACTTACATATCCATCATTGAACTCCTCGGTCCTGCATTAACAGATATCTGTTGTTCCGGAGATACGCGTAACGATCTTGGTCTTCCAGAATTTTCCGTCGCAACGTCTGCACCAATCGACGATTGACGCGAATTATCGGGACTCTGGCTTCCGCTTTTTTGTAATACTGCATTCAAATGATTATGATCCTTCGGTTGCGAAGAGAGTCCAAAGTCTTCGCGCGAACCCTTTCGTTTCATAAGATTATCGAAACTATTAGTCAGCGAACGTTTTGCTTTCATAAATATCGTACTACCAACGCCTACGCTGAGATACTGATTTAAAAATTCGCTTCTGAAAATTGTATTAAACATCGTCATACATAATATATCATTTGTTGAAATTTTTAATTGAAATACTTGTACTTTTGTAAAAATCATTGTACCTATTCTCGGCTGTATCGTGAACGTGCCTGGCTTGTTTAGCCTCGCAATGAGCACGTAATAATCTCATGAGAAATTGATTCTGTTCGCGCAAACTCGAACCAGCACCAGATCCACCTCCGATTGCTTCCGCACCTTTATATTTGCTAACAACAATTTCCTGTTCGTCTTCCGGTAATTGTTCCATTCGTGAAAATATTATACTTTGGGTTCGCCGATCGTTTTGACCTGCGAGATTAAAAAAACAAAACAATTTTTAACTTAAGTCAAAGATACACAATTTATATGAATATATTACCTTCTATCTCTTGATATAGTTTATTGTACCAAAACATGGGACAGTGTTCGCACGAGAATACAGGATATCTTTCCTTTCTCGTAACATCGCAAGTTGCAACGAATGCTTGAGTGATAGCTATTTAAACACAGGATGTATAAGATGACATTAAAGAAAAACAAAAATAAAAAGTTGTCGACGAGTAATTAAGCAGTTCTATAAATTGTAAAATGAGAAAGTTTAATCTCACCTGCAACGAGATCGTCGGCAACAGATTCCGATTGACATTTGAATATATAACCAACGAAACTTTCTATTGCAGCTTCTCTACAAATAAATCCAAAGTGTTCGGAATTCTTAACACCCTGTACGCAACTTGCAACGTCTTTAATTTGTTTGTGAAGCAAAACTTGCTTCCTGTCGGGACTGATCAATCTAAGATCGGCCCTTCCCACCTAAGATTCGAGAATAATACATCAGATATTGTAAAAATGGAAAGTGTTAAGATAAAGATCAATAGTTCGTGTTTGAATAGCATTTTTCTTTTTCTACCTGAAATAACATGGTCCTATTATGCTCGTCGCTAGTTTTCGGACCGGAATCTCTTCTACCTGTTAAAACACTGCCCATCGAAGAAGCACGATTTCTCATAACTTCGGGTACTTGAATATTATTACCTCCGGCATTATTGTCAATAGTCATTGAGGATGTTCTAATTTGAGTACCGTTGCTATCTTCGGATTTTAAAGACGAAGAAGAAGAGGCTACCATCGATGAGGTAGCCACCGATGTTAAGATCGAACCATGTCCGGATACATTTTCAACGCTACCCGTTTCGCTGGCACTAGATTCCTAAAAGAAAGATTAGGCTAACGCAAAATAACAAACGACAGGAAGAAAACAACTTTTGCGATAATATCAAATGAAATAAAATGATTTGTTTTCGGCTTACCGTGCTGTTCCTCCTATTATTGGCGACATATAAATTGGTGACAGCTTGACGTTGTAGTTGCTTACATTCCGATAGAAAAGCACTTGCCGAGGATTTAGATTTTTCAAGTCCGTGCGAACGAAATCTGAGTAGGGCATCGTCGATGAAAGATTCCGATACTTTTGGATGAGAAACTTTGATCTTACCGATGTAAAGTACCTAAAATAAATTAAAAAAAAAAAATCAAAAAGAACAATTCCCTAATGATAAAAAAAAAAAAAAAAAAAAAAAGAAAATAGAAGAATATTTCGTATCGAAGGACTACCTCGAAAAAATGTGACGAACTAGGAGAAATATCAGCGCCGATTGACATTAAACTGGCAGCACTGCTTTGCGATCTTTGTGGCGGATCCTTGTCTCTCTCGACTTTCGAAGAATCCGAATGTTCCTTCATATCTCCGGAAAATTGTTGCGCCTACAATTTGTGATAAAATCATTTATTCAACTTACAAATACCAATAAATATCAATCAATCAACCGACTGGACTCTCTACCGACAAAACTTGGAAAAAAGTTTATCGAATCAGGTTACCCAACAAATTATACTTGTCAGAATTGATTTATGAAATATGTATCCTTTGTATTCCCATCAAACGTTACATGCATACTAGATGCGTTATATAACGAAAAGAGTCTTACATTTACGATATTAATGATGAACAAAATTGAGAGAATTCCTCCTCCTCCTCCTCCTCTCTTTCTCTCGTTTCTTTTTCGTTTCGTTCGGTTCGTTGAGAGGAAAGAAGGAAAGCAATGAGAATAAAATAAATAATTTTTTTGTTTGTTTGTTGTTGATAAATAATATTTGTCGAATAGCAAAATAGTAGATCTATAAAAATATAATAAAAAGTATTTCGCAAGGAAACGCGGATAAAACGTGGATGAAACGTGGATGAAACGTGGATGAAACGTGGAGGGAACGTGGAGGGCGACCGTGGGGACCAAAATAACTTGCTCGAGGAGCACTCGTCGACCGCATGGCACCGTCCTACCTCACCCTTCCTTCATCCCCCTCTCATCGCGAATTTTCTTTCTTGCTTTTTCTCTTTATTTCTTTCTTTCCTTCATCAACCACCCTCCTCTTCTTGTACTTATTCCTCCTCTACTTCTACTTCTACTTCTACCCCCTTATATACATATATATATATATAGCTTTGTTTCGTGAAATTCCACCTAGCTAAATTATTTTCCTCTGTTTCGAAGTTTCCTCTCGTCTATCCGACGTTCCAAATCTTTTTACTTTGCCGCTGACACAGAAAGCGGATCGTTAGTCTGCAAAACAGGGCTTCTCTCATCCAATTAGAAAGCAGCAAGCTTTTCTTTCCATCTATCCCCGTTCGTGTAAGTTTCTCAACGTAACTTTTTTTTTGTGGTCACACGTGATAATCGAATCTTCGATATATATATAACTGTGCGATTATATCTTCAAATCTTTATCGTTAGATTTGTTAGAGCATTCTCAAAATTGGAAATAAGGGGGGGAAAAAAAGAAATAATTTTATTAAATGAAATGGGCATGGATAAAAATATATCGACGATATATCGACGAGTTAAAGTAATAAGAAAGAAAATTGTAGGAGATGCAACTACTTGTCCTGCTCCATCACCTAACAATAATTGATCGAAGCGAAGTATATTAATAGCATACGTTACGTTTAAAATAAAAGAGAGATCACGAATCGGTATCGTGAACGATTGATTGAATCAACGTGAAAAATAATAAAAATAATAACAATAATAATAATAATAGTAATAATAATAAGAACAAAAGGGAAGATCGTATAACAGATCGATGATTTTTCTCTTTTTACATTGCCGTCTTCGTGCATTTAAAAGTTGCGTCGTGTCATTCATTCTGATCGACGTAAATCATACAAATACGACGTCAAAGCCGAACTAATTGTTCGGTCGCGGTTACTTCTTCAACGGTCAAGGATAAAACGTTTTATGATTGATAGAAATAGAAATGTATTTTTTATTTTTTCGATGAAACGAGAAAAAAGAAGAAAGGGTAGACGAAGAAGAAAATAAGAAACGGATAAATCTTTTTTTCGTTTTCTTTTTTTCCCCAATTACAAATCGTCGTGATCATCATCGTCAAGACTTGATATACAAAGATAGATCCTAACTCGAAAACAAACGAGATAAAATAATCATTCGGTTACATGATGTTGGATTATCTTTTTGCAATCGTTCGGAATAGAAAAAGGATAAAAACATTGAAAAATAATATTCCAAACGTTTTTGTCACCCACGTGTCTATTCTTTTAGTATAAAGGAATAACAATTAATACTATCTACTTGTCATTAATTATTCTCTGTCGTATTTCCTTTTTTTCTCTTTGTTTTCTTGAAATCGTGAATAAAGTCATTGTTTTTTTTTTTTTTTTTTTACGAAATTCAAATTACTATGCGATGACTTGTAAAAAAAAAAAAAATGAAGAAAAAGAAGATGAAGAAGAAGGGGGTGACAACAACTTTCCTACTTTCGATGAGCGCAACAGCTTGCCGAGCAAACGCGATCGGCCTAGAATCTAATAATAATATACAGGTTGATCGTTCGTAACACACACTCTTTCACAATTTCCTTCTGCGCTTATTTATTATATCTAAAGATTTATTATTTTTCTTTTTCTTTTTCTTTTTCTCCCTGCGCGAAGAGAAGACAAAAAATATTTTGTATCGCGCCAAACAAGTTAGTCGAATAAAAATGAATTCACCAATAGAAAAAAAAACGAAATAAAAAAAAAGAAGAAGAAGAAGAAGAGAATGAGATAATATGCTAATAAGTATTTGCTAAATAAAACATTAAAAGGAAGAACAAGAAAAATGAAACATAAGAGATAACATAATTCGCGAAACGTCACGAATCAAGTTTGACGAATAAATTTGTAATCTTCTTTTCTCCTTCTCTTCTTTTTTTTTTTTTTTAATTTTTTTGGATAATATCTTTTTTCCTCGTCATTTGACTCGGAGAAATATTGGAAACAAATGTGCGCTCTTGGGTGCATGTTGCGCTTGGTTGATTACGCACCGATGCGCAAAGTTAAGATTGTCTTCTTGTTCTTCTCTACACATAACAACACCCACGCTGGCACGTTTTTGCTTGCTTGCTTATTTGTTACTAGCGAATATGCGCTCATACTCGCGACACGTAATAGTCGTCTACCGATTCTTACGTAATTTGACTTTCGATTTATTCCTGCAAACTTACTAGGAAACAAACTTTTCTTTTCATTCTTCATATATATAAAAAAGAGAAAGAGAGAGAGAGAGAGAGAGAAGACACTCACCGAAGGTCTTTTATAGACGATAGCGCAAGCGTCACTTCGAGACGCCATCTTTACGTTCCTCTTATTTACCGGTCCAAGAAAATCGGCACTCTTCTCATTTTCTTTTTCTATTTCGCGATGACAATTTTATTTGTTCTTATTAAAACAATGTTTTTATTAAACAAATCTTCTCATCGATCGTTTGTTGAATTTTATCGAAGAATAATTTGTTGAATCAGCAATTAACTTCTTCTTCTTCTTCTTCTTCTGTTCATTTCTGAACTCTTCTTTTCGTTGCAACCATCAACAAATTTTCCCACTTTCTTGATGTCATCGTCACGATGAAAGAAGATCGATTAAAATCATAGGAATATTGATCGTCTGTATGTGGGTGTTGTTTTATTTTTTTATTTATTTTTTTTTTTTTTAATTTAATTGCATACAATTAAATGATATTCTTTCGTATTATAAAGATAAAAAAAAAAAATATATATAAAACTTAGAGGAGAACTCTTGATTGGTTTAGAAATTTGTTCATTCTTTCTTTACTTCTTGAGAAAAAAAAAAAAAAAAAAAAAAAGAAAAGAAAAAAATCATAAAAACGCGTTGAGAATTTCTTTCTCCTTGGGTTGATTATTTTCTTCTTGACATACCACACGATGCTAAAACCGTCGTCGTCGTCGTAGTTCGCGAGGAGAGAAGAAACGGCACATCTCGAACATGCAACGCTTCAGCGTCGACTAAACATGGACGAGCAAGTTCTACGAATTTCTACGAGCCGAATCGAACAATTCCGATCATGATCATGATCATCATCATCGTCATCATCGTCATCATCGTCATCGTCATTATCATTATCGTCATCTCTTTATCGTCATCGTTATCGTCATCATCGTCGTCATCATCATTCATCCACTATGAATACACGTTTAAATCTAACAAATATCTAACGAAATGAACAATTTCTTTCTCGTGTGGCAACACGAGAGTTGGCCAAGTGATGTTTTAAAATAAAATACATCAAATAAATTTTCCTTTCAATTTAAATTTATATTCTTAATGTATGTTATGCACATTATTTAACATTTGTTGTTGTTGTTGGTTTTTTTTTTTTTTTTAGATAATCCCTTATAGATATTTTTACTTCTTCTTTCTTTTCTTTTTGTTTTTGTTTTTTTTTTTGTTTCATACGAGTGCCTACGACCTTGCATATCGAAATTTTGGCATAAACAACGTGCGTGACATTGCCTCAGATTTTCTTTAATAGTATTTATAGTCATTGCATTCTTATTTGTTTCCTTTGAGGTACGAAACAAACCGAATGGATACCAAATGCAATTATGTTTTTTCAAACGATCGATCATAAGTGATTACATTTTTTTTGTTCATTCAACAACACAACAACAAAAAATGTATCTTCATGATATGTACGTGTATGAAATGTACAAGAGTTGTAAAGAAGTACAAATCTGTCTGTCTCTCTTTCTCTCTCTCTCTCTCACTCTTGGTGGCATGTGAAATAGACAATCTATAAATGGAAAACGAAGGATAAACTTGTACTCATATATGTATATGTGCATGTACAGATACGTAAATAATAGGTATATAGCATCGGACTGAGACGATAATCGCAAGAGTCGCGTTCGTTCGTAATACAATGCTGTTCGTTCGTTTCGTATCGCTAAAAAGGCTGTTACCAAGATAAAAGTGAAAAACGTAAGCGTTTAAGGAATTAAAAGTATTATATATACATTTAAGCACGTAATAACTACGTTCAAATTTTATTATATTGTTATTATTGATGTATCCTATACACACACAACACCGTTCTTTAACTCATACATTTATATATATTATTTTAATTATACTAATACTTATATATATATATATATATATATAAGTTGAAATATATAAATAAAATATAAGAGAAGAGTGTTGTTGGCCAAGTAAGCAGCGTAATCATCGGTAATTTTAAATGTTCATCTCCCTATGACTTATCTTTTCTCTCGTTAATTTTACCGAGTTAGGAGAAGAAGCGTAAGAAGTATGTATGATGGTACGTAGGAAGAAGTTAGGGCCAAAAAGTCAAGTATAGGATCGTTAAAGCAAACCGCCAACACGAAACAACAAAAAGAAGAAGATAATGATGATTTTAAATAAGAAATAAACCTTTTCTTTTGAACATTTTACGTTTACCAATCAGTCTATTCAACGATGCTTAACATTTTATGGCAAAGGAAAATAAATAAGTAGACAACGAGGAGGCATTTAAAAATAGATGACTCTTAGACGGTCGTTGACGGTCTTTGACGGTCGTCGTATTCGTTGTCAGGTAAAAAAACAGATACTTTTATGTATACAACATGTATCTCTCGTAATTTTGTTTTTAGTCCAGTTCGGTTACACACGTACGTGATACATGTACACACCCGGTATATTTTTATAATTAAATATTCTTTGCGGTACCTTGATTTTGTGGTATTTTAAGTGCATCACTTCGCGTTCTTATGCAATAGACGAGCATGAAGTAACTGAGTGAATGTTGATAGAACCAACAAAATCTACTTTCAAAGTTTCCTTCGTTTTCGAGTTGGAGGAAAGAAAATGTTTGATAAGAATCAGTCGGATAAAAAGTTTCTTTGTCAAATGTATTTATAGAAGAAATTTAATCGGATTACGTTTGAACGAAATTCAAACAAGATCTTGTTCTTTCTTTATGAAGAAAAAAAAAAAAAAAAAAAAACACCAATGTGTATATGATAAAAAATGCTTTACTTCCTGCGAATTATTTTTGTCCGAAATAAATAGTAATATTTATTTGAGAAGTAAATTTCATCTACAGTTTTGTCTAGACAAAATGTAAGATAGATTTATTCCGATATTATCAAGTGGTTCGCTGTTAAGTGCTATTCCAGGTAGCGTCCAAAGTTTACTTCTGATTTCGTTAAAAGGGTACCTTTTACAAGAATGTGGTTAATGGTCGCGAGTCAGGAATTGCATCAGCGAGGATACTGTCAAGGATTTAGTCAGGAAATTTTGTTGTCTTCATTTCAAATAAAATATGAAATAAAATTTATTAAATTATGAAAACTTATTAAATATTAGATAATACTTACTAAAGTACTACATTATTTATACCACTTATCATCAATCATGATCGATCGATCTGAATGGAAAATTTCCTTCATAAAATTGTATATAATTATACAAATTTTTATCGAGAGATTTTTTTTTCAATCCTATAAATAACACACAATCTCTAAGCAATAATAAATCATTCATAAGACATTAATAAAGCAATGTCGTAAAAGAAATCACCGTAGATCGCAGTATAAAACGATTTGAAATCTTTAAACCACAGTCTGTTCCATTTCGTTTTTAACATAAGCCTACCTGTAATGGTTTGTACTTGAAATAGTAAACTTGTATCGAATGAGAAGATTTAAATTGAAGACGAAGTGAAAATAATTTTCTTCCGACGAACACGGACAGCTTCCAAACGTATGATAATATGAGAAATCTCGAATGCAACTTTCACCGGATTACTGGCACGCAAAGTCGAACGACATCGTTCAACGTGTAACACCTTTAAAATACTTAAACATAAGCCAAGAACAACAAATCGTCCAAGTTAGATCCAACAAATACTAAGGTAAACTTTTGCAATATGTGATGCGATTATATATGCGTGCAAAAAAAAACCCAATGATATTTTGTTTATTCTACTTAGAAACTTGTCAAACATTAATTAAAGATAAATTTAATAATAGCCAAATAAAATAACATAAGAAAATTGTCCTCCTATCCTATAATATTCATAGTTACAGCTAATGTTAGATTGGTCGAGAAGAGAATGTACTCAGCCATTGGCTACTTTGGCAAAGTGTTTCACGATCGTCAACCTAAAACTGTGAACCATACGACGACGATATTTACACACCTACTATACATGGTACGCGGCGCACATGTACATGCATGTGAGATGCATTGGGATGCATCATTGAACGTTGTAACATGTACACAAGCACGTACATATGCGATATAACTGTCACCGAATGAAATTACGTATGTTTTTTTCTTTTTCTTTTTCTTTTCTTTTCTTTTCTTCAAGAGAAACAGTTCAACTTCTTTCAAAAATACTTACTTAACATACATAATATGTATTTATGCATAATCAAAAAAAAAAAAAAAAAAACTAATTAAAAAAACAAGACGCAATCTCCACATTCTCCCACTTATTTCTTTCCAAGCTGAAAACACCTACGATTTAACATAACACGTTTTACCGTCAAGAACGTTTTCCATTTACTCTAACGGAACATGTATTACAATACATTCCATGATACTTTAGCTACATTTTGCATGCATCGACATTTGCTTCTTTTTCTTTCTTTTTTTCTTTTTAACAAATATATTTAACAAAAGACATTAGGTAAAAAATCAAAATTATCTACAAAGATACGATATCTTTACTCGAATTTATGTAACATTTTTATTTTTTTTTTTTAACGACTGTCCAAATTTTAGATTATTTCATATAATGAAATAAACACATAGAACCAAAGAACCGTTGAAGGAAAATTTTTATAATGGGCGCGGTCGAATGAACAATATTTTTGTGTTACGATCGGAGTATTATTTTGGACATGCACACATTTATTAATAAACATCAAATTCGTAAACGCGAGATGTGTAAACGAATATAAATAAACATCAAATACGCGGCGCTTGTTGTTTACTAGCAACGATTTGGAAAATACGGAATGCAAATAATCCTTCTTTCTCTCTCTTTCTTTTATTTTTTTGTTTGTTTATTATTCCTTTCTCTGTTTCTCTTTTGGTATTGTTTACAGTAACTAGTAGATCGCAAACAGCTGGAAAGCAAGGACATAACCTAGCTATTTTTCAATTCTTTCGTACATTCGATAAAAGGTAACATAAATTTATTGATGCAACAATTATTGTTTTACCTTTATTTATGCACCACCAGATGATGAACTTGAAACTTCAATCCTCGTAGAAATGTTGCTTGAGATTTATTGTTGTTGTTGTTGTTGTTTTTGTTGATTTGTTTGTTTGTTAGAAGAGATCTACACTACAATCTAATACACTTAATTACGTTCATGCTCCACATTACATTTCGTTGATGATTATAAGATGATCGAATTATTTCTACCATTTGTTTTAATCAACGTGTTGTTCTTTTCTGTCTTCTTCTTCTTCTTCCCCTCCTCCTTTTTCTTCTTCTTCTTTTTTTTCTTCTTCAATGATTACTATTTATTTACGTTTACTACTTTAAATGTACCAAAAGCATACCTCTGTCTAATTCACCGAGAATTTATACAAATGGCATACATATGTTTAAAGTACGCTCTGAACTGCACCGCGAAACGTATGTTACTATCCGCCGTTCTAATTCACTTTTGTTTATTCACCATTCTCTACGAGGAAAGTTTTTGTCAGCAGGTGGCGCAAGGTTAAAAATCTTCAAATGTCACCTAACCTGTTTTTTAAGCTTTCAAAAGGTCTGTTGTTTAACCCTATTATACTTTAAAATATTTTTTATTTTATTTCTTTTTTTTTTTTTTTAAATCAAGTTTTACACTTAAGAATTATCTTAATTATATTACTCTCTTGTGACGTTATTATGTTTTGCATTATGTCAGTATATATATATTATATCACAATAATTTAACCAAACTACCTTTTTTTTTTTTACTATATTTAATATTATTTTATATTGTTCGTCTAATTTATTTTTTTTCTTTTTTTTTTTGCATTCACATTTGTTAAAAAAATTGTATAAATATATTCTTGAAAAGAATGTTTTTAGGTTATAATTCTCTTTTAGTTATTTTCATTGATTATATGTTAAATGTGTTTAGTAATTTAAAATATTTGTAATAGAATAAATATTAAAGCACTTTATCTGACAAAGATATACGAGACAATCATTTATGTAAAACAAACTGTATTATTTACATTATTATACAAGCATTTTAGACATATAAGGCCCATCCAATTCGTAACCCATTTTTCTGTAATAATTTCTCGTACCAACGCCCGAAATAACAGCAATTTTGTCAGAATTGTGTTCTTCTTTTGCAATGCGTTCAGCTTCTTCCATAAGAAGCATACCAAAACCTTGATGTTGAAATTTGGTAGGGTCACGAGCATGAATTGGCACTACGCTACCATAAACATGAAGTTCTCTTACGATGGAACATTTACCCTTCAATTCGGATCTGTAAAAGTAAACGTTTTTCAAAATTATTCCTGTCAAAGGAAATGTTCTTATATAAAGAATGTGTATTTAATTTTCATTTAATTATACCTAAAAGTTCCAGGAGAACATTTTCTTAGACGAAGTAAACCGATTAGAATATCTTGCATAGGATCTTCGTAAGAAAGAAAAGTTTCCCATCCGTTGTTGGCAACATAATCACGACGTATTAATTCAACTTCATAAGGTTGAATTTTATTATGTATTTCTTGTATTCCTACTTCACGTGTACGAACATCACGACAGTCAGTACCTAAATCTTTCATTCTAGCTAGTGCCAATTCACGTAGATTACCATGTTCCACTCCAGAACTATTTCAAAATTTATGAAATATTTTATTATTAGAGATACAATACAAGGAAGATGTAATAGTAACAATGTTACCTGACTAAAGGCATTGGTATATCTCTTTGTACACGGTAGACACGCGTCCATGGTGGTATTAAAGATAAAATTCGTGCTATTAAATCAATCAAAAGACTTGGCGCATAACTCTTATATCTACCGGTTTTCCATAACTCATATAATCCAGTACCACGTATTACCAATGTTGGATAGATCTTTAAACCATCTGCTCGAAATTCAGGATTTTCAAAAAATTCCTAAATTATAAAGATTATATATTTAGCTTGTGAGATTGTTATTATCAAAAAAAAAAAAAAAAAAAAACAATAATATAAAATTTAAATGACTTACGATGAACTGTTCGATGTCTCTTTCTATATCAACATTTGGTAAATCTGGCATCATGTGAGCTATAACCTTAAAACCTGCATCTTTTGATAATTGAAAACTTTCGCATACTGCACGAACTGTATGTCCTCTGTTTGTATCTCGTGCAACATCTTCGTATACTGACTGTACACCAATTTCAAGACGCGTGCATCTGGTACATCAACAACATGAAATTATATTTGTATGATTAAAAATATATTAATATTTAAATAATTTGTACCCGTAGCGCAGCATATCCGACAGATGTTTCTTTAAACAATAATCCGGTCGTGTTTCTATGGTAATTCCAATACATTTGGTACGACTCCGTTCTGAATACTTAACTGCTTCATCCACGTTATTGCTTACATGACCTGATAAAGCATCGTGTAAATTTCTTATGAAGTAATCTCTGTAATCTTCTGGCAAAGACATAAATGTTCCACCCATCACGATAAATTCGACTTTGTCAACGCTGTGTCCTAATTGTTTCAACTGTTTAATGAATAATATTATTTTAGAAAATTGAATATTATTGTAGTAGATGAAAATAATAGATGATATTAATCATACTTGTTCAACACGATGCCTTGTTTGTAAAAATGGATTGTATCTTGCACGTATTGCTCTCATAGATGTGGGTTCATAACCAGTGTATGATTGAGTCGAATATTCAAAATCAGAATCTGGTCCTCCAGGACAATATACGCAAATATTTCCTGTCATATTGATGTGTGGACATCTGTGCGGTTTGCACATAACAGCTACTACTGCTATCTGCGAAGAAACAATTATTCATTATCTATTGCATTAAATTATACAATTTTATAATTTGAGAACGAACCCCGCTAGCTGTCCTAACTGGTTTGGCTTTTAATTTAGGTACTAAAATGTTTCTAGCATCCGCAGGTACAGCAGCTATTATGTCAACTAGTCTAGGAGACCTATCCAATCCATATTTTGAAGATATTTTTGTTTTCAATTTATTCAAGTCGACATCCCTATTCTCTTGGTGAGCTCTCAATAATTCTTGTATAATTTCTCCAATCGTAATGACCATACGTTCCTCTTTGCTCTGTGTAAATTCTATTAAAGGAATTATTTTATGGATAAATTATAGTACATAACCTTTAACTTATTATACAAAATATTTTTTAGATATTAGAATAGAATGAAATAAAGCGTACCTTTTAATTTTCGGACCATGGTTAATTTTTACACTTAATATTTCTCTAAGATTATTATTTTTTTATTTTATTACTATTTTTAACAAAGTTTAAACCATTGTTTGCTATTTACACGTTGCATATAGCAAAGAATATAGAATTGTATATATACATCACACAGAACAGTGATGCCAAGCGTGAAATTTTTCCCACGCATGCGCACTGTCTAATCCTCACTAAAGTATATACTTCATTTAAATATGGGGTATCATTAGGTTCCCGTGATAATTAAAATACGGTAGAAATTACAGTAAAAGAACATTTTTTAAAAGATATAACACATTTACAGTACAATTCAATATATTATATAACATTACGCGTCTCACCTTCACTTTAACGAAAAATACGAGAACGATTGGGAAGGGCTCCTAACGCGTACCTACTGTGACATATAGACACGTCTATGAAAACACCGCCGTCGCGGTACGTCTATGCGCATGCGCACGAAGGCTCCCACGTGGGAGATCCGTAGTATCACTGATCAGAAGTCCACTTTTCCTGTAAAAAGTTCATCTTAGTTACCATCGGGACAACCAGAGAGCGATAGTAGGTAGAATACTGTATTCCTTCATAGTATTTTATCATCATCGGGTAGAGTATCCACTATCGACTGTGTAATAAATTCATTCTAGTAGCAACGAGACAAGCAGTGGACAATAGTAACTACTTTACCATGACTGTCATGCTCGTCGAGTACCGATTTCCGCTGTCAGCTACGTTCCGATCGAGATGACAAAAGGGGTCCATTGAGAACTATACATGACACGCTCACATTCGCCTACCAGCTAGCATAGCAATCACGCGTATGGTCGACCAGTCTCAAGTTTATTTCTAAAAGATTTTGCATTTATTTTTTAAGTCAACAGAAATGTATAATTAAAAGATAATTTATATTTAAATATTCATTTAGGTGCTTAAAATCTATAAGAAATCTAAACCATTTTTCAAATTTCGCGCGGATAAAATTGATCAATCAACTGCATTGTAATTGTATGCAAGATCAATAGATGGTGTTAGTATAAAATTATAAAAAATTTCGCTTTAAATTAAATATTCTGTATCTGTATCTGTATTTTTTAATGTAGAAATGATTAATCTTGCTTCCTTAATCAATAAAAGTATATTTTCTTCATGGAAATTGATATTTATTTGATGATTTTTGCATCTGAAATGAAAATGTACCTTATCAAATTTTTCAAATTTAGCGCGAATGCATTTGACGATATGACAGTATCGCTGCACTTCCATAAGTAAGACAAAGATAGATGATGATTCCATAATGCATACCTCTTAGCTGATTAAAGTATTTTATCTTTTAAAAACGAGACATACAGTAAATTTAGTGGTTTCCTATCAATGCTCGAGTTTCTTTGCAACAACAATTATTCGTTTAACAGTAAAATGAAAAAGGAAAGCGACGAAATAGTTGATAAAAAGAGTCGATAGGAATAGATAGGAGGTAGAAAAGAGGAAAAAAGATGGAAAGTGCAGCTGGTAAGAGGAGTGGGGGTAGGACGGACGGTGGTGATTGGTGGAAAGAGAGCAAGTGGAGATTGGTTGGATGGATCAGACCGATAGTAGAGAGGTTCGCGGCGTGGTGCAGTGTATAGAAAAGCGGCAGGCTCAGTTTGCATTTGAACGTCGCGGTGTTTGTTACGCGCAAATTTGGTCAGGTAGTTTGAAGCTATCAATAAAATATCTCCGAAAAGGAACCTATAGGTATAATAGTGTCAATCTGCCTGATATCAATTTAACGAGATTAATAAATTATATTTAAATAGGAAAATAAATTATCGCGTAAATAAAAAAAAAGTAAATATATATATATATATACATATATACATGCATATAAATAAAATAAAAATATAAATAAAAATAAAATTAAAAATAAAATAAAATAAAATAATTTGTTTAAAAGTCTTCCAAGTTTCCATACACACACACACACACACACGCATAAGCGTGCGCGCGCGAGAACATAAGTACCAATAAGATATTTTCTTTTCGGTGTGAAGAAAGAGAGAGTGAGAGGGAATAGTGGTAAAAAAGGGGAGACGAAAGAAAAGAGAAAATCAAGGAGTCGCGGGTCGTTGAACGAACGCGCGCAGGGGCGAAACCCTCTGGTCTCGTCTTTGGTGTGTGTATATGCGAATCCCTCTCTCTCTTGCGCGCGCGCGCACAACCGAGAGAGAGAGAAGTCGAAGAGACGCGCGTGCGCATCCCGCGTATCGCACGGCCAAGGAGAGCGAAAAACGCAATTGAAGGAAGAGGAAGTAGTAGAACAAGAACAGAAGAACAAGTAGAATAAGAATAAGAATAAGAAGAAGAAGAAGAAGAGAAATAGTAGAGGCGAAAAATAAAAAAGAGGTGGGAGGAGGAGGAGGAGGTGGTGAAAGCGTAGGTGTAAAGAAAAAAGGCGGAGGTCGCGAAAAAAGGTGGTAGATTTTGACTCTACATTTAGAATTGCATCCTCCTTTCCACAAAAAAAAAATAAATTTCTCGAGAGAGAGGAAGAAAAAAATAATCGCAGAGGCGCCTGCGTCTGTGCGTTATCGATAGTAAAAGAGACTCTTGTTAAAAAGCGTGAAAGGGTGGGGTGGGGTGGGGCGAGGAGAAGAAAGAGTGCGTGCGTACATTCGTGCTAACTTGATTGCTCGTTCGCTCTCTCGCGTGCATGCGCTGTGCGTGCATGCGTGCGTGCGTGCGTGCGTGCGTGCGTTCGTTCGTTCGTTCGTTCGTTCGTCGTTCGTCGTCGTGCGTGTGTGAGGAGAGGTAGGGGAGAGTGAGTGGTGCGTGCCTTTGAGTGAGCGCCTCGAAATAAGAGAAAAACAAAACACTCTCGGGTGAAAAGCAATGCGGGTTCATTGACTGCGCGCCGCGTCAAGCAATGGCCGCATGTTCGTGCCCGGTGCATAGTGCGCGCGTGACAGGAGCTGCAACGAGAAGGAGGAGGAGCTCGATCGAGGATACGACGAGGACGAGACGAGCATTCCCGACGTCTACCACGTCGACGTCCTCAAAGGTTGCCCGCGAGACCGAACGGTGCATCGCCGGCGAACTCGTGCGAACTCGGCAAACTCGGCAAACTCGGTGAGTCCGACCTTCTTTCTCTTCTCTCTCCCATCTTCCTCCTCCTCCACCTCCTCCTCCATCTCCTCCTCCACCTCCTCCTCCACATTCTGATCCAGGAGGTACCAAACGAGACCGTATCGACTGTGCGTCGCGCACCGGCTTCTTATTCTTCTTTACATTCGTCATCAAGCTTATTTTTTGCTAAAGGTAGCAAAAAGACTCCTTTCCCTACTTCTTATTTGATTCATTGCATTTTCATCATTGCGATTCGATCAAATCTTCCTAGGATTGTATGTGTACACATACTTTTATCTCATTTCGATGCCGGACCGAACCGATCCCATCCCAGCAAGGATGCGATTATCTCGCGACACGATGACCTTGTAATCCTCGTTGCATTATAGGAATAAAAAAATGAAAGAAGAAACTTGCCAAGTATCTCGCGGTTTAAGGCGAAGGAAAGATAATCGAAAGCTAATTCGTTGGGCCTTATCGTCGAAAGGAACAACTCTCGGGGAGTTGGAAGTATTCCAAGAGGTCTTAAGAATCGTGTATTCTAATCGAGTAAATCGGGATAAGTACGTGTACTTGTGTGGGGTAGGGGAGGGGCTCTTACGGGCTCGTACGACCGAGGAGAATAAAAATACGGAAGCTTCGAATCGATTATCGTTTGCGCTTTGGGAATGTCGCCTTTTAAATAATATATCTTTCCTCGAACGTTTGAAAGAAAGAGGATAAAATGAAATGTTAAGAAAAGAAATATAAGTGAGGGTGGTGGTGCTGTTTTTAAATGGATAAACTCGCTGTCAAAATCGTGGAACGCGCGATTCACACACTCTCTTATCCATGACTAATACCTGCCACTTGGCGAATGAAAATTGGCGCGACGTAAATATGGGACAACATCGAGATAAAGTTAAAGAGAGGGGGAAACTCGGAGGAAAGCTCGGAGGGAAGCTCGGAGGGCCGCAAACATTCGCTCGATTTACACCGCCCGCGCCAACTTTGTGCACGCGTCTTTTTCGTCTTTCCCTCCTTCTACCACCTCTCTCTCTCTCTCTCTCTGTCTTTTTTTCTTCTTTTTTTTTCGTCACAGTCTCTATCTCTTTTTTCCTCTTTCCCTGGCCATCTCTTTAAGCCTTTCGAAATAAACCGATGCAGATAAATTAGTAGTAGAAAAAGAAAAGGCAAAAAAAAAAAAAGAATAGAATGGTCGCTTTGAATCGGTAAGAGTTTAAAGACCTTTCTTTATCACTCGTCCTAGAAATATTTGTCTGGTGGAAGGAACGACGATACGATACGTCGTCGTCGTCGTCGTCGTCGTCGTCGTCGTCGTCGTCGTCGTCATCGTCATCATCGTAGTAGTAGTAGTAACGATTGAGTTCGCGTGCATTTCTTTGCCTTATTTTATTCCTTTACCGTTTTCTCTCATTGCCTATCTACAAACTCGTTTTATCGAGTTTATATACTTTGATTATTGAGTCTAGATCTGGATAGTCTTAAATGTTACTACAAATACTATCTCGTCGTGGTAATCGTAGATTACCTAGATCTTAGATTTCTAAATTTGACGACTAACTTAATTGTTTTTATCTAGATCGAACGACTATGAATGGAATTTGAAGTTGTACTACATACGATGATGACGATTACAATGATGATAGGGAGTTTCGGTTAAATTTCGTTTACTGTTGGAATTTATCGATCGATTGATTAAAGAAAAAAAACAAAAAAAAAAACAAAAATAAAAGTCACATCATCGATATCAGCACATGTTGACGAAAGTATCATCGGTATCTCTCAATTGTATTTTTAGATTATAAAAGATCGAGAACTGAGCGATCCGTTGAAAGGGACTACTGCACTACTACTACTACTACTACTACTACTGCTCTTTTAGAAGAATAAAAGAAAAAGAGGAGGAGGAGGAGGAGGAAGAGGAGCAGGAGGAGGAGAAAAAGTGTCTGTTCTTTCGAATGGACTGGGATCTCTTAAGAAGGATCGTTGAAGGATGCTGCTGCGTAGTCGTTTGGGTTGTCTCCGTTGCTGACGGAGAGTGGACGCGCGCGTGTGCGTGCGTGTTGAGGAAAAATAAAGCGTTTACCAGTGATAATAATAGTACAGTGATAGGAATAATCGCGTGTGTTTTAACGAAAAGTCTAATCGAAGATAATAAGAAAAAAAGAAGAAGAAGAAGAAGAAGAATAAGTAATAGTAATAGTAATAGTATAGTAACGGAATAAAAAAGGATTAGAAAGAAAGAAAGAAAGAAAGAAGGTAGTTCTTTCGTCATCGTCACACGACGATTCAACCTTTGGCGCGTGCCTTTTTGTCAGCGACGCAATCCAACAACTACCAATTCACAGTGATACGAAATAGAAAGAAATAAATAAAGAAGAAAGCAGGTGCATCGAATCGAATAGTGCAAGCAAGCAAGCAAGCAAGCAAGCAAGCAAGCCAGCGAGGCAGCGAGCAAGCAAGTAAGAAAGAAAGAAAGAAAGAAAGAAAGATAGGAGAAAAAGAGAAAACGGCGGCCAGCTGAAACCAGCAACCACGCGGTGGACATGATTATTTCAAAGGATCTCTTCCTCCTTGGCGACCAAGATTATCTGCGCCTTCCTAACAACGAGAAGCGCCAGCAACGGGCAATGGGCCGGCCGATCATCAATGCTCCCAGGTTAGTCTTTTTTATTCTTTATTTTTATCGACCAATGAAGTTCAAAGGAATTCCTTAAAAGGTGCTTGCGAGACTCGCTTCACCCAATGAGGACTGAGCCATTTTGCACGATTTTTTAATTAGCTCCTACTAACCGGACGATAAGCGATATCGTCTGTGTATATTAAAATGCAACTTAAGTATTTGTTCATGTACTTACGTATTTACTTACGTACGTACGTACTTACGTATGTATATATATATATATATATATGTAAAATTTGTGCCCATTAGCATAGACGTTTTTCAAATGCAACCTGCACCAAATCAAGACAGACGTCTACACGTTACACATGTAAAGCGTCTAATTATCTAATCTAAATGACGTGTATCTATTTCATCTAAATAGCTACGATTTATATTTATTATGATCAGTTACGCGCGTTATAACAGTAGACAACTTTAAATGGCCGATCGTCGTACGATAAACTCCTCTGTATAATAATACATACACATATGCATATATACCTACTTATTTCCTTAACAACTCGTTCATGTTTTTTATTATTATAAATGTATATGATCGATGTTAGATCGTTACGATTAAATACGAACGATCTTGATCTTGCGATAACGATCTCGAAACATTAATACAAGAGACGCTTTTCCTGCAATACGAGCAAATCATTTATTTCAAATTAACTTGGTTAGCTTGAAAATTTGTCAGATCGGTGAATAGCTCGGGCGAATAAGACTCCGGTCGGTTATCTTGCAAATACTTTCTTATAAGGAGGATCAAAAGGCACTCGCTATCGAAAATCGAATATTACAACGGGAGATAGTCGACAATCTTTCAAAGTTGGTTTGCTCGAAAAACGTCGGAGCTCTTTTTCGTTTCAACTTCTTACACTCTTTCTCTCTCTCTCTCTCTCTCTCTCTTTCCCTCCCTCTCTCTTTCTTTCTTTCTTGCTTTCTCTGGCGTTATATCTATCTCTGTTGCACGTGCTCTTATCGTCCGTCATAAAAAATTTATCAAAGGCAAATATGGGAGCACGCTGAAACGAGAGTGTAAGTGCAATAAAGTCTCGTCTCGACTCGTCCCATTAACCTTCGCCGTGACATCGACGTCGATCGTTTCGAATTGGCGAGTAGATTTCGTTTTGCATTCTCTCACTCTTTCTATCTATCTATCTATCTCTCTCTCTCTTACTTATTCATTCGCTCGCTCGCTCGCTCGCTCGCTCACTCGTTCGTTCGTTCGCTCATTCGCTAGCTGACAATTTTTCATTCGCATTATTTCCTTTTAGTAGCAAAGTCGAAAGATCGAAGAGAAGCGCGTGTGTGTTGCATACTTAAAGGAAACATCGTTCGTTTGCAGGAAGATTAATTTTTATCGGGCCGACACCTCTATCCGACGACAACGACTGCGACAACGACGACGACGACGACGACGACGACGACGACGACGACGACGACTTTCTTTAGACGTTTGCTAATCTTGAAACTTGCTTCATCGGTAATTATTCCCGTTGTTGTTGAATTCAACTGCAACTAATGACAAACGGAATATAGATTTAATGGAAAAGAAAAAAATTTGTTTGAAGAAGGTGGAGTATCGTTTCCTGGCGCGTTTGTATAACTATATAGTGACCTAGAAATGCAGGCGATCGAAAGAAAAATCGGTAGTTTCACCAGCTGAGAAAAATCGAGTCTTCCGCTCGGTAGATGAAACCGTTCCAGTTTCCCGTAAAGTTGACCTACTAAGGGGCCCACCAACCACTTCAATCGTCAATTTCTTCTTTTCCATAAGTTTCATGCACTTCCTTATTTCTTTCTTTTATTTCTTCTTTCACTTATACACGAAAACCATCATCATTATCATCATCATCAGGTATATATTCCAGTGTACACGAAACTATAGGATTGCATCAGAGTTTCGTCATATATACCTAATATGATAAGATTATTTCTCGTAGGAAAGTTTTATTCCACGAATTGAAATGGTTAATATTAAAAAAAAAAAAAAAAACAAACAAACCGTAATAATAAAAAAGAAAGAAAGAAATAAAGAGGGAAAGACGTCACGACACATTCCTGCGTGAATGAACAAACTCGGCATTTTGCTTGGCATAAAAGTGGAACGAAAAGAAAGAAAAAGGTAAAATAAACAAGAAAATAAAATAAAATAAAAGAAAAGAAAAGAAAGGAAAAGAAAAAGGTTCACACACAGGTATTCCAAAGTAAGTTCAGCAGCAGCAACAGCAGCAGCAGCAGCAGCAATAGCAGCAGCAGCAGCAATAGCAACAGCCAAGATGGTAAACGTACGGACCGGTAGTGGACGGATGCGGACAAGCGACCGGGCAGGCAAGCAGGCAGGCAGGCAGGCAGGCACGAGGAGAGTTGTAGGCGAGATGAAATCGAGGACGGTGCACGCAGGCAACCGTGCCATTAAGTAGATTGAATATTACCCTATATTCGGTGAACGCAATCAATAGCCTAGAAAAATCTTCTACTATTCCTATCCTTCGGTTAAACTAAACTCACGGAATTTTAACGCGATAGAATAAGAATAAGCCGCGGTGGACGCTTATACGTGGTGTCCTTGAATCTTCTCCTATCAGCAGCGTTAGTTGCCGAGTCTAATTTACTATGGAATAACGAAGATATACAAGTTGGATGTGTATAGAAATAGGCATCAGCAGCAGGCTTATTCACTTTGTTGGATTATTCTTCGAAAAAATAATATTAAAAAAAAAAAATCTCTATAATGATATAATCGATGATGACTAGGAGTTAGAAGAGTGAAGAGTGTGATGCTTGTTGTTAGTTAGTTACAGTATACTTATTTACTTCTTATTCTTCTTCTTATTCTTCTTATTCTTATTCTTTTTTAACATCTCGTATTTGCAACGATAAGTCGGATAAGGCCGAGTCACGTTTACCTCGATAAAAGAATTTTTTACTACCCGTGTTATTCTCAGAAACGAATGTTGATAGTATTTAATTAAATCCCCCACCTCACTCCACCCGCTAGCTAGTTTTCTTTCAGTCGAAATAAAAAGATTAACGGTTCCGGTGCAAATAAAAAAAGGCCCGAGTAGAGCAACAGTGCAGTGCAGTGCAGTGCAGAGCAGTGCAGTGCAGTGCAACAACAGCAGTCAACGTCAGGATTCCACGAAATAAAAGGATTATTATTATTCGACGATCGAACTTAACGTTCCTAGGATGCCGCTTATGATTAGCGAGAAATTTTAATAGTTTCGCCGAGCTTGGAAAAAGTGAAGGGTATTATGAGCTATGATTTCTCTCTCGTGAGAGTGACACTGACCTGCTTTGCCTAGACGCGACTAATGTTAGAAAAGAGAGAAAGAAAGAAAGAAAGAAAGAGAGAAGAAGAAAATAGAAAAAGAGTTTTCCTTCGATAAAAAAAAAAAAAAATAACTCACGCGTCAACAATTTCTCCCTTTTGGAAAATAGTTTTGACTTACTGTGTCAGTTCGAATACTTCAAACTGAAATAATTGTCGGTATCAACAAGATTAGCACATGAGCTATTTTTTTTTTTTTTTTTAGCTTAATGGTAAAATAATTGATTAGAAAAATATAACTAGGTACAAATGTAAATATAATAATAAAAATCTAGAGTCGCGATTGTATCGAGAGTGCATCTTTGAAAAGAAATCGTTCCCCTTGGCGGCGGGATGGTATGGTCGCTGTGGGCGCGTTGGATGCTGACCTGCCTCACGCGAGACTCTCTTTTACTGTGCCTGTTCGTCGAGCAAAGGGGAACCTCCTCCTCGTGATACGTTCGAGCTTGACTCGCAAGAGAACGGAGTCAGCAGCAGCACCAGCAACACCAGTAACAGCACCAGCAACAGCAACAGCAGCAGCAGCAGAGTCAGCACGCAGCCAGCACGGAGCCAACACGGAGAATTGCTGGCAGGCGGCATTCCCTTCTTCCTAAATCAGTCAGAGCACACGAACGTAGGAATGCAAATGCCTTCTTCCTTTCGCTCGAACATTCGTTGGTTTGTTCGTTCAGTTAGTTCGTTCGTTCCTTCGTAGTACGAGGTTAGCCTTCCTTCCATTTATAGAATTTTCAAAAAACAAAAGAGAGTCTAGTTTTAAGCGAATAAAGAACGACCAGAGAAAGAAAGAAAGAAAGAAAGAGAGAGAGAGAGAGAGAGAGAGATGACTCTATGCAAATTGCATCCTTGACTCGGCAAATGCGAGTACATAACGCGACAACCCGTCTACTACTACTGCGTTAACAACGAACGTTAGAGGGAACAATGACCGGTATTCTTTTTATTCCAACTCTTTCTAGAAGGAATTTTTACTTCTTCGTTGACATATTAGTAGTATAAGGATAGAATTATTGTTGACCATTTGACGAAACTAATATTAGCCAATTTTATTTCAATAAGTTGTATGTGTAAGAGAAAGAATATATATATATATATATATATATATATATACGGGTAATGCAAGTTATCGTGTACGCGATTGCTATAAATAAATATGCATAAGTATATTATTATAGGTATATATGTAAAGATAGATATATAATATCTAGACGAGTACATCGTAGCGGTGACTCCTTCGTTATCGTTCCTGTGCCGTCCCAGTTTCTTCATTTCGATACGCGCGCAACGCGGCGCGACGCTTTTCAATGCACGAGCCGGCTCGTCGTGTCGTCGTCCTCGTCACTTATATATACACACATCCACGTATTATTGTGCATGCATACATGCATACATATATCCTACTGCAAATCGCACACTGCATACGAGCAACAACCTATAGACGCCACTCATTGTCAGACGCGATGCCTCGCTCGCAGTTGCGTCGTTTCTTTCGCGTTCGAATCAACTAGAAGACAACATTGTCAGGGATTTTATCTGTTCGAATTAATCTTACACTTTGTTTTAAGCTAGAAGAGAGAGAGAGAGAGAGAGAGAGAGAGAGAGAGAGAAAAATCGTCTTCTTTCTATATTTTGAAAGTAATGCAAATCCTTGGTA